TCTAGTTGGCTGACCCGGGTGAGCACCGAGAATGACGTCAGAGCTAATCGAACAGCACGGGGCTGACCCGTGTCGACCCGGGTGAGCTAAACGAACGCACCCTCAAAAGAACTCGATATTTTCGTCGTCAGTTGAGATGGATATTTCAGGAGTTCAAGAATCCCTTTTCAATCAAAAAACAAAATTGCTCATTCAAACCTACATTCACTCCTCGGAACAGATGCACATTGTGTGCCAATGACATTCCTGTCGCGACGCGTTACGAAAACCACAACACACAGACATAAAGAACGACATGCCAGAACGATCAGTACATGTAAAGAGCCCTCTTGCGGCCAGAGGGACCACATTACTTAGCTCGTTCCCCCCGCCCTGCAAACAGGACGCTGGTAAGGGCTGACGTCATTTGAGTTCTCATTGGATAGATTTGCGTGACCTGTGACGTAGAACACGTCACACAAACTAGCTTCCGGTGCCCATCATGCGTAGCGTGCGCTAGCTAGCTGCATGCGAAGGTCAATCTGTACTTCCTTCACAAGATTCTGTGCAGTCAGTGGCCGTGTCACGCAAACAGCCCTGTTTGACCTCAGTTTCTTGTCCCGAGGTCACGCACGCATGGCCCAAAAACCGTACGCGAGATTTTACGAGATTTATTCGAGACTACAGAAATCGTGTGCTTTATTTTGATACTAAAAAATAACTACTTTTGACAAAGTGTTGTTATGGCCTGTCAAACAAAATCATATTTTTTATCAACAAAAGCGAGGGCCGATGGTTTTTACGTGTACATTCGATTCTTAAAAAAGGCCGAAAAAACGGCAAGGCTCAGTAGATAGAGGAATGTATACGCTTCAGTTTCATGTGAAACACGTGCAGGAGACTTCTAATGTTTGGTCCAAATCGACGGTTGAAAAATGAAGACTTTTGCGAGATTTCATGATTTGCAATCACATGTATACGTGTAAATGAACGTAAGTACGCCGACGTTGGCCTGAAAACATTGTGAGTAGCGTTCTTTCGTTTTGGACGTTAATGGAAGTTGTTGGAAACATTAGGTGTACCGCGAATTCTTAAAATATTAACGACATCATATTCACGAGATTTTTTGTTGATAAAGGTTAATTCTTTCCTTTGATTACCTCAACATTCGGGAGACTTTCGTCGTTCTCGGAAAAAAACCCGGAAATGTCATGACCTAATTTTTAGTCGATTTGTCCGTGAAATAATATCGTCAAAATGCATCGAAATCCTTTTTTTTTTTTTAGAAGAAAAAAAACCTTGATGGATGTATGAAGTAGGTCTTTAACTACCTTAGACAACTTTGTTTGGATCGGTTGTAGTTTGCCATAAAAATTGCGAACTTTCTGAAGAGCCCTTACCAGCGCCCCGTTTGCAGGGCGGGGGTACGAGCGAACCACATTACATGTATTTTGCAAAATGCAATCAAGAGAGGGCGCCCTACCAGATAAACAGGGTGTATTATTAATAAACACCATTAATGTCAATCAGGCCACGACATGAAAAATTTCATGCACTGAATTTGTTTTAATTCAACATTTTAACACTTTCCAGGAAGCTTTGGACAATGGACAATTACTTTTTCATTTATATAAGCATTTGTAACTATTTCAAAACAAAGACTTTCGTGAGGTATACTCATTTCTTAGTACAACAAAATTTTAATGTTCCATACACTTTTGACTTTTCTTTCAGAAAGGCATTCATTCAGTCAACAAAATTAAAGAGAAAAAAAAGGAAAATCGAACCACTTAAGGATTAAACAAAAGACAAAGTTTTAAGAATAGTCTTAATTCCCCAAGAAATAACGAGCATCAAATTCATGAGGAACCAATATTATATAGCTTTTTAATACTTTACTTCAGGTTATACAATGAATTGGAAATGGATTTCAGTACTTGCCCAGTCTCATGGAGAAAAAATAAAACTGAATTTTAAAAAAATAAATAGGATTTTCTTTTAAAGGGAATATACAACATTTGCAAACATCGAAAAATAAAACTACCAAGTTTTTGCGAAATACCTTAATAGGATGTTGGTAAATGACAGTCTAAAGCATCCTGTAAAATTATGGCACCTGGTATACTGTCATTTTCAAGAAAAGTGGTATTTTTGTATCAATTTCCAACGCTGATCGGCCGATCAGCGTTGGAAACAACTGGCTTTTTTTTCAAATACTGGCCCCAATTGACCATTGCACTTGTTTGCAATCGATTACAAACCTATGAACGGGTACGAGCCAGCTAGACTGGTTCCGTGACCTTACAATTCCCCAATGTATGTAAACTGCTCTGTTTCTTCTTATATGGAGTCAGGGAACCAGACTACAAGAAATGATCGTTTTTCTTGGTTTTTATAGCATTTTCGAACCCAAAACCTCCAAAAAGTCAGTGTAACTATATTTGCTTTATATTTCCAACCCCCGAATTCCATCCATTTCTGAAAATTACAGCAAAAGCAAATGATGTATATTCCCTTTAAGAAAAAAAGTTGGACAAATATGATTAATGGCAAAATGAAATTAGAGTTGCAAAATTCAAATGAGTAAACTATTTTTTTAAACTAAAACATTAACTAATATTCGAACCAATTGTATTTGTTTTATTAAAACAACGAATGTGTCAACGGACCAACTGGACATTTGTACATTTTATACTGTGTAATCAGTTTCACATGCAATTTTCTCATGGCATGTTCTCCAACACTACAAAAACTATTATCTTAAGTAAACATCAGATGTTTATATTTCATTTATTGCCTTTGCAGATGTTTTGCTATACTTTATACTGTTCAATCAGTTTTACATGTTGGAAAATAAGTCTCATAGAATGCCGTCTATATACAGCTGCCAAAAAAAATCAAAAAAATAAATTGTAAAAAACATAACACACATCAGATGCTTTTATGTCTTTTGCAGATACTGCTTTAAGTTTCTAGATATTTGTGTCAACACTATTGTTCATCACGACACAATATACATGTATATCACTGTTTCAACTGAAACAGTACATGTTATTATATACAAACTACATGTAGTTCTAATAAGGCCAAATAACATAATAAGTCGGTCTCTGGTCAGCACGCGCGTCGATTTTAATCATGTGCGTCAATCTTTTTTTTTTCCAAAATGTTCCGCTGTAGCTCCAACAGCGCCCTCTATTGCCGCACCTCCTCAATTTTTTTTTACCAAAGAGCACCAAGGAATGGGAAATTGCACCAAGGCAAATGGTCGAAAGCACCAAGGCAAATTATGGAGGACACCAATGTACATGAGGACACCAAAAAAGAAAAATAGTACCCCACCTTGTCTGTACAATCCAAGCTTGAAGAAAAAAAAAACAGCAAAAAAAGAAAAAATCCGCGTCGCCGCGTCAATTCCGGAACTTTGGTCTGACCAGAGACCGAATATTTTTTTTTTGGGCCTAACATTTAGTTTCTTTAAAGTGAACATTTGACTGGAACAAATAAATTCAGCTGACCATGCATACAAGGACATTTTTCATAAATTTCAGCTTATAAATATAATACATGCACAAGCTCATATTTCAAAGACAATTTATGTATTGCTTGTTAAGCTTTTGCCTTTTTTTAGCATGACACTATACATGTACTTCTTGGTGAACGTTAACACCAAAACAAAAAAAAGAACTTTAAAGTTCATATAGATACATCAATACATCACTAATTAACACAAGAATGAATGCAAGCCCAATATGCCAAAGGTATACTCATGTATGTATGTGGGTTACATTTGACACAAGAAAGACTATGTTCCCAGATCTTAAGTGTTGTGCATATTTCAGCATGCAGGAACACCCCACCCCCCCCCCCAAAAAAGGTGACCCTTCTCCAATGATCTTGCATCACCCCCCCCCCCCCCCCCAAAAAAAATGGTCTTGCCTATCCAACTTTAAAATGTGCATATGCTAGTCTGGTTTCCAGACCAAAAGATTCTGACTATTCCTGATGAATCTTGGGTCCAGTAGCCTCCGGTAATACATTGTATTACAATTAAAGGGAATATACAACATTTGCAAACATCGAAAAATAAAACTACCAAGTTTTTACGAAATACCTTACTAGGATGTTGGTAAATGACAGTCTAAAGCATCCTGTAAAATTATGGCACCTGGTGTGAAGTCATTTTCAAGAAAATCGTATTTTTGTATACATTTCCAACGGTGGTCGTCCGACCACCGTTGGAAAAACCTATCTATTTTTCAAATACTGCTTCAACTTTACACTTTTTTCAGTCCAAATTTTGTTTGCTATTGGTTACATGTTCATGAACGGCTGCAGGCCAGCTAGACTGGTTCCCTTACCTTACAATTTTCCGGCATCTATACATTGATCCATTTTATATTTAGTGGAGTCAAGGAACCAGACTACTTGAACATTTTTGTTTTTCTTGGTTTTTCCAGCATTTTCGAACACAAAACTTCAAACATGTCAGTGTAACAATATTTGATCTATTATACTAACCCCTCAAATAGTTCATTTCTGAAAATTACAGCAAAAGCCAATGATGTACATTCCCTTTAACATCACGTGACTAAAACGGGAGGAAATTCTCCTTTTTTCAAAAATGTCCGAAGTTTGCCGAATTCCTTTCGTCCCTCCAATCATTCATGCTAACAAGCCAGTTTGTTATTTCAATGACCCGAGGTCATTAGGGATAACATCGCTGACGTGATGTTACGCGATGTTACTCGCACGCCCATTCTGCTGGTAATTAACACGCAATTAAGCGTCGTGCACTCGCACGTTCTTGTGCCTTCGATCGTTCGATTATCCCGCATGACCCGTGACCCATATCATTGTGCACACATGCGCATTTGAAATACTGAACTCAACTGGCTTATTGACAAACTGCAGTATAGTCTAGAGCCCTGACCTCACAATTCCCCAATGCCCTGATTTGTAGGTCAAGTAGCTCCCACCAGGCTAAAACTGAACATGATGCCGCTTTTTCAAAGCTCGGCTCTGTTTCCGATTTGGCTTTATCATAAAAAGCTTTTAATGTTCCCATCAAATAAAATAAAAAAATCACTTGCTTCATATATCATACAGTTTGGTATTTTTGTAAGAAAATGTTGAATTTAACCGTAAGACACCAGTTGAGCTGGAATTTTCATAGTTAGGGACTCGAATAGCGGTGAAGCCAAAATGGAGACCACGCCGACTTATGGAATTTTGAAATTTTTTTAATATGCTTGGCAGGTATAAAATAAACCCTTTTTTATACCTGGAAAATATCCGGGTGCTATGCAATAAAATGCATTCAGCAAACTTCAGACATTTTCGGAAACGGGAGGCATTCCTCTCGTTTTTTGTCACGTGCCGTGGTGGCTACCTGACCTAAGATTCATCAGAAATAGTCAGAATCGTTAGGGCTGGGAACCAGACTAACTGCAGTAGACCTGATTCATTAGCAAATAAGGGAATTGAATCAATGCCATTTTCGGGGATATGAATAGACGTGAATCGAAGGTTATTAGTTTATAGATTACTAAAAGCTTCACTTGTATAATCTTGAATTTTTAGATTTAAGAACACTTACTGAACTCTTCCTATCGACAGGATTTTTTCCAATGTTTAAAATAGTCCCCAGAAAATGGCTTCTTTTCAGCCCCCTTTTTAAAACCTTTCTAAGCTAAGCTACAAAATTATCTAATTCGCCTTTTGATTTCCAGACCCGCGTCCACGTTCGGCTCCTCCTCCACCCCGTTTCCCGCCTCGTCCCCTGTTTTGGTTGCCTCCCCTCCCACGATGATCGGGGCCACCGCGGCCTCGGTTATCTTGCCCACCCCGCCCACGATGATGATGATAGTAGCCCCTCCCCCGATTTGGCTGACCCTTATCCATTGGGATTTCTCTCCAATATCCCCCCTGAACTGGTATCATGGGTTCCTGCCCCATAAGAGAGGCAAATTTCATCTGCCCAATGTTAGAAACAAGTGACTCGTCACTGGTAATGCTTGTTTCTTGCTTGGACTGTCCGGATCCATCGCTCTGTTGTCGCCTTGGTCTAGGCTTACGAGACCTTCCCTTGCCAGATTTGTCCAGGTTGAGCTGTTTGGGCCAGCCTTGGATCTCCTCAGACGACCCCACGAAGACCGGATACTCCACCGCTTCCGGTTTGTCCAGCATCTCATCCTTTTGCTCACGCAGGGACGTCAGGCTCTCAATCACACCCTTGGACTGGTCTAGGAGATCTGTCTTGGTTGCGTCTTCGCTCAGGTCGTGGAGACCCAAGATCTCCGACTCCAGGTCGACTTGGAAGGCCTCAATGGCTTCTGTCTTCCGTTGCAGCTGCTCCAGACCCGTCTCCCGACACTTCTCGATCTCGCTGATGACCTGGTTGCATCGCTCGTTCAGCGTTGCCTCAGCTGACTGCAAGATGCCTTTGGATCTCTTGGCCAGCTTGACCACCCTCACAGCCAGTTGCAGCTCCTTATCGTTGAGTTCTCGCCTCCATGTATAAGCCTCATCCAGATTCATACACTTATGCTCCGGTCTGGGATGATCCACCACTGTGCAGTCACGGCATATCAGCACCTCACAAGAACTGCAGTAAAACTTCCTTATCTCGTTGTGAATCTCGCATATTGTGGCCTCCCCGTCAGCGGTCTTGGCCACCTCAGCCGTTGTCTTGGGCTTCAGGGGCGACAGAGCCTCCAGGAGGCTCTGCAGGGCGAAGTTGGAGGTCAGACCGGCCACCCCTTTGTTAGGCACCGGGGTTTTCTTGCGGCACACCGGGCAAGCCACCACGGGGTTCTGGGGAAATTCCTCGGGCTCGAACACTCCGTCCAGACACTTGAGGCAGAAGGTGTGGCCGCAGTTGAGCAGTTTGGGCTCCCAGAGCTGGTCCAGACAGATGGGACATTCTAGCTGGTCCCCTACGTCCAGTGATGGAGCAGACATTGTCGGGAAAATGATTGGTTTGGGAGCCGAATTTACACACGTAACAGGTCGGCCGGAGAATGTTCAGCCACGAAAAATGCAGTACACTGCACGCGTGTGTATAAAATGGCTACGATAAACTACACAACAAGTACATGCCTGGTGACGTCAAAAGGACAAAGGCCACGCGCGCGCGCGGTCGAAGTTCAAAAGTTGACTTGTTTGGCGCGTGCGGATTAGTCGAGTCGGCGGGGGAGTACGTGTATTAAAAGTTGTTTTATCAATGTGAGGTGAAAAATTGGGTGATATTTTCTCCACTTTCGTTTTGTTATATAAACTTAAACTAACAATTTCTTTCTGTAAAATTATTGTTGTAGAGAGCTTTCCCAAGTGTTAAAGTTGATCTGCACGTAGTATTTACGAGTTTCACCCCGAAAAATACCCCTTTTTTGTAAATTAAATCGCCCCCGCGTAGTTATGGGATAATTACATTGATTGCGGCCTAACTTTAGGCCAAAGCAACCCAAGAAATAAAAAGTTTTTTTTTCAGAGGGATAGGCCTACAAACTCGCCGAATAGTTGGTAAAATTAATAAGTTTATAACAATTTTTAGCTATCGGCAAGACAGCCGAAACAGCTCGTTTTCTGATTTTTTTTTGGGGGGGGGGGCTGTTACTATTTTTTAACCTATATTTTAAATATTGGGCACATTTGTTATCCAAGTACTACATTTTTTCCCCGCCGCGTCCTTATTTCTTTTAGTTAATAGACGTGTTTTATTTTGTAAATATATTAACAATATAATTTTTGTCTTTTTCGTTTGTTTCTAACAAAACTGTAGCTATACAGGGGTGCACACCGCGTAGGTCTAAATCCTTCCGCCGAGCTCATGAATAAAAGTTATACCCTCAAAACATTCTGCACAGGGTGAGTAAAAAAAGCGAAACCCAAATGTCGGGACTATTGTTTTGGTGAAGTTCTAAATGTAGCACTTTTAAAATCCAAGATATGAAAGCCCAATTCATAAGCTTTGTTTTAGTACAAGAATCATTCAAATCACTCATGTACTTTTCAAGTTACGGAATTTTAAACACAACCACCGTTTTAAAGTTCTGTCCACGGATCACAAAACGGTAAGTGATCTTTCAGCAAAACGAAAACAAACCACAAACGGATGTGTGTGTTTAATATTCCATAACTTGAAAAGGACTTGAGTGATTCTTATACTAAAAGAAAGCTTGTGAATTGGGCTTACATATCCTAGATTTTGAAAGTGCTACATGCAGAACTTCACTGAAACAATGGTCCCGACATTTGGGTTTCGTTTTCTTTGACTCGCCCTGTATTAGAGAGTTCCGGGAGCCATAAAATTGGGGAATTGAAGAGATATGGCAATGAACCTCTGGCCCGGACTAGGGGGCTTAAATTCTGAGCATTTTGGGATGTTATTGGGCTCAAAAGTGGCGCCATTTCGCCTTGTTGTGGAGGGATCGTTTTTCAAGATGGCTACTTTTCCGCTTTGGGGAAAATAGGGGTCGTCTTCTTTGGGTGAGAATATCTTGAAAAGTCAATGGTCAACCCACCAAAAAATGAAAAGAAAATGAAAAGATGTCATGTTGATCATCATTTTTCTGTGCAGCTTGAATACCTGTGAGAGTTCTGAGTATGTTTAAAATAATTTTGAAGAATGGGCATTTAGCACTAGTGTCTATGGGAATTCTATTGTTGGGGTGAACCTGAAGAAAGGATTACGGCTCCTTTGGACGCCATTTTGTATCAGCTAAAGAGTCGAGAAAATGGAAGAATCCATCCGCCATCTTGAAAAGTCTACCACTTTGGAAAAAACCCCAAAATACCTACCTCTTTTTCCCCCCAAAATCCAGAACCTATTTATTGTTTTGCTTGGTCTAATACTAGAACATTTACTCACTGGCCTACAGTAATCATTGTATATGGTTTTAAAAATGTTAAAGGCCAGTTAGGACAAGTATCAATGCCTCTGGAATGTTCGAAAAAAATATGACACCTTGATATCTTTTTTTAAATTGAACTTTTCCATACCTTTCAAGGCATTGTATAGGGCAATTCAGAATAGTTAATGTTAAAAAAAAAATTCGATGTTGATTTTGATGTTTAAATGTTGAATAAGTATCCATTATATCCTATACACTGAAGAACAAAGTAATGATTTAAAATTAATGAAGCAGATATTTTAGGTCAATGCTCTCCCAGCTCAGGAGTTTTCAATGGCTTTTCCAGGCTTCCAGCATGCAACTTTGTAGTTGAAACAGAAAAGGAAATTGCCAAGCACACAAAACTCTGGGGAAAAATGTTACAACCTGACACCACTTTTTCTTCATATATCATCTCAATGAATGTTATTCATTGCAAAAATGATAAGACATGAATCTGGGACTGAGAAACATTTCCAATTTTGTTAGGAAATACTTAGAAAATGTTCTTGACTCTCTATATAGACTTTGTGCACAATCGCGGATGTGGCGTCAGGTTGCAAACTTTTTTTGCAAACTTTGTACAACGTTTTCAGTTTTCTGAAACACTATTGCTAAAAAAAAAAATGTTTATTTCAGCTTCGTTGTCATTAGCTTTTGCTGTGTCCAGTGTCAGACATGACAGACGATCTCGAAGAGGCCACTGGCATTTTTGGGGGGTTTTCCTCTCCTTCTTGTATTATTTTTTTTCTATTACTTTATTTGAAAACTGAATTTCGATTTTCAGTTATTTTCTTTGCCCCATCCATCAACAATTTCGAAAAAAAAATCCTTTTTTTTTTAACGCTGACTGTTCTGAATGGCCCCTAAACTCTTATTTTTTTTCTGTTCACACATTACAAATCTAAAATCATAGCAATGGCGTTACTTGGGTACAATTTGTAGGAGGGCACTCAGAGGACCGCATTGTTTCGGAGAAGAAGTTTCGGAGAAGATAGTAAAAAAAGAAAATTTTTGTCTTCCCTACAATCTGAGAAGTTTGCTCATTGACTGGCAGTTGTGTACTATTAGTAAAAAAAAAAATCCAAGTGCGAGTGCACAATAAGCTCTGGCTGTGTTGCAAAAAGTCTTGCATATAATCGATCAAAATGATCCCTGCCACAGCTTAAAAATGCAACGATTAAAAATGTAATGCCGATGGTACATATGGAACACCACACTTTTGGTCAATTTTCAGGGAAAGATAGATAGACAGACAGACAGACAGAAAGAGGAACCGACCACCAAGTGACACACATAGAAGATCCTGACAGAGCTTAAAAAAATTGAGATCTTACAAAGGTAAAAACAATCCGACTCCTTTTTTTGCTCAATTAGCCATAACACTGAGACTTCTGCCACTGTTTTTGCTCATGGATATGGAAAGGTGCATGATCGAAAAACCTAAAATTAAAACAAAGAAATCCCTACAGTCTCCTTGCTTGCTTGCTCGTGTGTCAGACGAGGTTCTGCCATCGCTTTGCCACAGCTGTTGCCACATCACTGCCCTCGCGAGGTCATCAACGGTGCATGTATCTCCACCACATGTCAGCAGATGGGACATTGTCTGGACTTCTCCACAGAAGCATTTGTCAGAATCTGAGAAGCCCCACTTCTTGAGGTTGGATTTGCAACGTCCTACACCAGTGCAAAGGCGGTTTAAGGCTCTCCTAGATGGTGTCCTGGTGCCATTTGTTGTTTGGTTTTCGTTAATGGTACAAATGGCTCTAGTTCCATGAAGCTATGCCGACTCTTCGGGTGCTTTTTGGCATGCTGATGATTGTGCAAGGGGTGTCGGAGGTCTGTATCAGGGGGCCTTGAAACGTTCTACTGCAGCTGCCCGGTCTTTGAGTTGGTTCATCGATGCCTGCCAGCTCATAGAGATGCTCAACATTTGCTGGTTTAAGGCACTGTGGGCGTGTGTAGAGCGGATCCAGACAGTCTCCTGATGATGAACAGAGCATACTGTTCAAAACGTCGAATTGAACCAACTGGTTCTTCTCAGAACCACACAACTCACTAAGAGATATCACTCACATGGTGTAACCGCAAAACCTCCCATTCACTGATCATGTCCACCATGCAAACCTTTAAGTCTCATACAATTAAAATATTGCAAATGAAACTAAAGTGGACACAAAAAAGCATTTTTCAGATTTCATTTAATAAAACAATTATATTGCAATTAGAGCCCTTTAAGCAGCTACGGCATTTGTTAATATCAACATTACAAAAGAGAGTTGCACTGCAAAAGAAGCGGTGTTAACTTTAACACCAGCGTTATCTTTAAAGACCATTCCGAGCATCATATCAGGGAACACTACCGAAGGCCCCTCTCAATGGCGAAAGCATTGTGTCGGCTATTGTTCAGTTAATCCGTCATGGGGCGAATGATGAATTTGGAGCTCAATGTTCATCAGCTTTCCCCATCGCTTTTTCTCCTCAGGAAATCTCGCAGATTGCTCAAACCTCTCCAAGGCAGCGTCACCACTTTTACCAAGACTGCCACGCCCGATGTCAGACCATCCCTGACTTTAACGAGTCCCGCCCTGGCAACGTCCAGCTTTGTCGGCTCGCGCTCCCGAGTCCACACCCCTCGCGACTTCTTCTCGGCGCGCAGCTCGGCTGCGAGGAGTCTCTGGGTCAGCCTCGTCTGCAATTTATGGTCCCGTAGGCCACCGAGGGGGGATACCTTGGCCAAGCCCTGCCTTAGGAGCTCTTCGTTCAAGGAAGTCCTTCTAAAAGGCAACTGCAAGTGAAGAAAAACAAAAACAACTCAGATGATGTGCCTTTTTATAACTCAAAACTTCCTTAAAAAACTGCTGGGTAAACAACATCTGACAAAGAGCTTATTAGAATAATTAAAAGCACAAGTAGTGGAATTGCTATTATTTGACTGATTTTAAAGAAACAAATTTGAGCTAATAGTCCTCATGAAAGCTCGCAAATCACGCGCAAAAGTGGCTTTCGACAAAAGTTTACCAATAGACAAATGATAAAACCTTGCAACTTTTACCATTAAAATAACACTGTGGTTCTTCATGATCTCTTCTAGCCCACTCACATTTTTCAAATATTTGAATTGAAAAATTAAAAATATTCACAATCGTTTTGTCTCCATCTAATTAATTGAAGAGAATACATAGAATAGGAGATATCATGCAATAAATTCAGAATATGAGCTAATCGAACTTTGGCATTTATATCTCTCTTCTGTTTGATTATCTCATATTATGAATTTATTGCATGATTATAGCTCTACAGAGATGTATCGAGCACTGCGAATTGTGATAGAAGACGATTTCATTGGATAGAGTAGGAGATATATTTATATGGAGATGTGTTAGTTTGAATCATAGAGCTGTATTAAATTACTAGAGTGCTATAAACTCCTCATTCTTACACGCGGAGATACTTTGAAGCCGTCCTGCGCGCAGACATTTTGAATTCTTGTGCGTGTTTGTAGAACATAATGAAATTAGATGGAGTGAATTTTGAAAGTACAACGTGCAAATACAACATGCACATGCAACTGAAGTTCGTCATGATGGTTAAAAAACGTCATGGCAAAAAAATCATCTGCAGCAGATAAACGAAAGTGCGCGTTTGTGTTGTTTGCGCAGAGCAAAATGAAACTCTCATTTTCTGATCGTGCGTTTCAGTTTTGGGTGTATCGGCCAAACATACAAATGCAGATATGCAAATAGCCATACAAAAGTCGTACAAAATTTCGAGTAGTATTCCATAGGTTTGTGCACAAACATCAATGTGCCCAGCAGGCACCACTTTGTACATTGACTCAGCGCTCTAGTAATTTAATATAGCTCTATGGTTAGAATTAAGCAACATCAATTAAATATCTGCACAGTATCTGCACACTTACATTATTACCTGATGATAAATATTATTCTGATCCAATGTTAAGAACATTACATGTAGAAGTTTACATTTTTCTTACTTATCTTTGGGGACACAACACGTGAACAATACTTTTGGGGATAGCGGTTACAGAAACTACTGTTCATGTACCAAATTGAGAAACGTGGATAAATTATTGAACAGACACATACCCCAAACAAAATAATTAATTGTAGAGAATACAATTTTCTTAATAGCTTTTCCTACTACTAAAAATTTATGTAATCATTTACTGAATGAAAAACACTAACGTTACATTAACGAAATTAGAAATTAAAATTAGAAACTGTACCGCCCGAAATCGCTCAGAGTATTATCCCTGCACTTATTTCACGAAACTCGTCTTACCCACTCTAAGATTGATCTTAGCTGAGACGCGTCCTAAGATCGATTTCTCTAAACCCATCTTAAGCAAGACGCATCAAATCTACCAATATGATGGCTGTTTCATTGTTTGTTTGTACCGCTTGACAAAAAGGTTGTTGAAAAGAAATGTGCAAAACCAACTTCCCGCGCATATATATATTAAGAACATGATCTTTCGCCAGAAAAATTACACCACTCAATAAATATCACACGCAAGGTTGGTCTACAAAAGGTACGATAGAGTCATTCTTGCTACCCATTTCATCACTCTATTCTTTAAAAAGTCGACTAGGCGTTGGCGTATAATAAAATTTTGTCAATAAGCTATTTTGATTAAAACTACCCAGGTATCAGAAATCTTTTCAAGTCTGTTTCTACAGCGGTTTTCTTCTTGAAACTACCTGTATAACTCTAGGCCGACACTTGTCTTTAATGGCAATAATGAGATAGGAAAACCCTCAAACCGATCTTAAGTCAAGTCGAGTTCAGCCGCGTTGCTAAGAAAGTTAGGGCTTGTTGAATTCATCTTGACCCCAACCCTCAATCCTCTAGAATCCTCCTGCCGGTTTTGGATGATTTTAGAGGAATGAGGATGAATGGCAAAGATGTATCGCTTTTTTTTGTGGAGGATGCATTACGTCAAGCCAGTAGGCCATATCCTGCACTGGTTATGTTCAGCCATGCATAAATCAGCCCTGTGTTTTTCTCGTATTTCATCCGCACTGCTTCTAAACGCCATTCGCGATGCCTCAAACCATAGCAGTGCTTGGCAGATGATTTTGGAGGATTGAGGCAGTGGTCACCCTCCACAGACTAAATTCAAGAAAATAACGGATCCAAAGGATTTTGGAGGATTGAGGCTGAATCCAATTTTTTTTTGGTGGCAATTGGAGGATTTTGCAGGATTGAGGTTGCATCCTATCCAGAGGGCCTAGGGGGTCAGGGTTAATTTTGGTGATATTGATCCTAGGACGAGTCCCGAGTTAAAGATATAGTCCATCATTTGTAATTTGTGCATTTTGTTCGTTTGAAGCAACAAAAGTGTTCAAAATCTAATGAAGGATACTGAACAACTAACCTGATGAAGTTTCAGCTAAGCTTCAGCTGTATATTCCGAGAAAAACAGCATTCTAGGATCTCCATTTCAAATCAAAAGTTACTGAATCATGTTTTGAATTGTTTTGAATTGCAGCTATACGCGCACTGATCTGACGAATTATAGCGCGTGTGCGCGCTTCGCAGAATAACAAAATGAACTACTAATTTAAATTTTCCGCACCGTTGGAAAGGCCTTCTTTCATTGATTACTTCAAATGACAGCTTCCCAGAAAGAATAATTTCACAGGGAGTTTAGTTCCCTTACTATCTTTCAACCAAGTTTGTTTTTCAACAATAATTACGCCAGTTTCTTTTCGGATGGCTGCAAATGATGGACTATAGCTTTAAGAGGAGTAACTCTTCCTAAGATGCGTCTTAACATTTTGTTCAATCGGCCCTAGAGCACTCAATGGTTTTATGGATACATCAGCAAATAAACACAATGTAATACAGTACAGTTGCTAATATAATTCTAATATATCACATGCAAGCAAGACTCGCCCGTGAAAATTGGGAGACGTACCTTCCATTTCACGAGATCTACAATGCAGTCGAGTCCGTTCGCTTCGTTCACACACAGCATGTGGAACCGTAGCGAGGGTTGAGTGCCAAGTCTGTCTTGGAGATACTCCAAGCTTCCTTCCTGAAGCTCCAGGCCAGCGAGATGTACCGGCAACCCGCTGCCGGAATCTAGAGAGTCAATGGACGACAGATCACTGTCACCAGCTTAAAGGTACGTGGGATTGTTCGCCTGTTCCTTCATTTTGTGTTTAAAGCAACAAATCTGCTCAAAACTTAAGTGGAAGTTTTAGCTCAGTGGCTACGTTACATTTTGAGAAAACAGAAAAAAAATGCGCACAATTTTTTGGGTCTCATAACTGGATTCTGTTGCTAATGTCCCTAAAAAAGTGTGCCCGCTGACACACTTAAAAAACAAAAAAACAGCCTTCTATGTTTTGTTTTCTCCTGAACGATAGCATTTCAGATGAAATAATTTTAAAGGGTATTTGGTACCATCTCTGTCTTCACTTTGAGCAATTTTTTTTTCATGAAATCGGAAGGTCGAGGGTAACTACCAATGTTCCTTTTAATATACCAATATTCCTTAATATAACTTTTTTCAGAAGGGGGGGGGGGACAGGTAGTGGGAGGCGGTGGGGAAAGATAGGATTCTTTTATTTCACTATTATCTGAAAATATGAGTTTAGATTTGAGTTTGCCTTTAATAGATAATTAGACAGAATAAAACAATATCCTACAGCATTTAAGGCAACGTATCAACTTGTCGTCTGTAGAGGGCGCCATTTTGAGCTTATTATATCAGCTTGCCGTACGCAGTGAGTAAAGGCATTCTTGTCAAGCTGTCTGTCACTTAACCAGTTCTCGCCGGGATTATTTTTGCCAAAAATTTCGATTTTTGAAAAAGGCACGATATATCAGCCAACTTTTGATTAACAGCCAAACGCAACAAATACTGATTCGCTAGAGTCATTTCAACAGCATTTGTATGATATTTCTTGCCGAAATTTCATATGTTTCAATGCTCCGAGGTGTGCACTGGAGCGTAAATTGTCTAACAATGTGCCGTGCACTTCGGCCAATTCAAGATCAACACACGGTCCGCCTCCACAGACTTCACGGACTTTGTGTGTGTGTACAAAAGGCACGAGGGATTAGCGTGTTTAGATGTCATCCGGAAAGAAGTCAAGGCAATCTTGACGTTTAAACCCGTCAGCTGTGCCTGTGTCTAAAAACAGCAAGTGTGTGTTATCATGTCCTCTGCCACGAAGTGGTTAACAGTCAGTTGCCGTATCACGCGTAGCTGCTCTATTTTCTCGTCCAGACAACTGACAGCAACGCGAGGCCAGCGAACGATGGCCGTAAGAAGGGCTTCAGAAAATTCGCAATTTTCACGGCAAACCACAACCGATCCAAACAAACAAAGCTGTCTCAGGGCTAAATACATCTATCGAGGTATTTTTTTCTCAAAAAAATGATTTTGATGAATTTTGACGATATTATTTTACGGACAAATCAACTAAAAATTATGTCATGAAATTTCCGGGTTTTTTCGACAACGACGAGAGTCTCCCCAATGTACTCAAACGAATGAATGAACCTTCATCTACAAAAATCTTGTGAATGTGATGTCATTAATATCTTAAGAATTCGATGTACACCTAATGTTTCCAACAACTCCATTTTTCACAACGCGAAAAGATTGTCGCCATTGCATGCATCGTAAAAGCATAGAGCAAGGAATGCAAACATGGTATGACCTTGTGACCCCATACGCGCAGCCTGCCCACTGCTTGGTCGAGCTTGAGATGGCCTGCTTAATATTCATAAGTCATTCACTCCACGTTCGCACGTGCTGTTCAGGCCGTTGGCCTACATGTACTTACGTTCGTTTACATGCGTACATGTGATTGCCAATCATGAAATCTCGCAAAAGTCTTCATTTTTCAACCGGCGATTTGGACCAAACATTAGAAGTCTCCTGCACGTGTTTCACATAGAAATGAAGCTATACTTTCCTCTATCTACTGAGCCTTGCCGTTTCTTTTGGCCGTTTTTAAGAATCAAATGTACACCTAAAAACTACCGGCCCTCGCTTTTGTTGATACAAAATATGATTTTGTTTGATAGGCCGTAATAACACTTCATATTTGTCCAAAGCAGTTATTTTTGGTATCAAAATAAAGCACACGATTTCAACTTTTAAATTATAAAGCCATCTTGGCCAAACAGTGCACGTATCCAGGTACTTTTTGTATTTTTCTGTAGTCTCAAATACATCTTGTAAAATCTCGCGTACGCTTTTGGGCCATGCGTGCGTGACCTCGGGACAAGAAACTGAGGTCAAACAGGGCTGTGTGCGTGACACGGCCACTGACTGGTTAAAGGAAGGATAAAGTGTTGACTACCATGATCAATGCGCTCACATCCCGTCAGTATGCGTTATAATATTAACCCCAGACATAGGTTAAAACAAAATCTATTAAATAACAACTCAAAGAAACTAAAAGAAGAAGAAGCTTAAAGCTCCAGTCACACATTTACGGTTTAGAATATTGACGGGTTACCAAGAATCAATAAATCATGATGAACCGTCCAGATTCGTGGAGAAATCAACTTTCTATGATTGCACTATGCTTTCAGGACTCATAGCAACGACTGCCCTACGTTTCTCTACGAATACACCACGGTTTGTCAAGAATATGGACGGATTGGTGAAGAATATTGAATGACGTTAGCGCAACAGTTGTCTGCGATTGGGCCATGGATGACCAAGGTTCTCCTACAAATAAAGTGTGGATATTCGTAGTACAACCTTAGCAGAGCCCTCCCTCATCCGGGCCTATCTGTAAGACATTCGTAGCGAAATTGAAGAGATTTCTACCACGATTGAGCTACGAATCTCCAAGAATGTACGAATAGCTACAAACAGCACTATGAATCAGAACGGTTGTCCTACGGATGTCCCACAGTTTGTACTATGGATTATTTTTCATGACGTTTCACCATGGAAGTTTTGAACAGTTTCAAACTTCCGTAGCCCCTCCACGAATACCCAAGGAAGATGACGGATAACCATGGATGTACTAAGGATGAATACGGTACCCCCACGGCTTATCACGAATTCAAACGGTGGAGATTCGTAGCTCCAAACCATGAATGTGTGACTGGGGCTTAACAAGCGTTCTTAAACAGGGCCCCGGTATGCACAAAGGGTTGACCAATGTGGCAACAAAACTCACCACTTTCTCGTTTCTGTCGCCACTCGAAGTTTACAATTGGCGTATGCTGCACAATAACGTGGACTGGTTCTTTCCGCAACGCCACAAAGCGACCGTACAGCTTCATGTTTTTACTGATAAACTCCTCTGGGATGTCCGACACTCTTCGGAATCGCTGATACTGCGATAATGAAAACAGAATCAATGGTTTGATCAAAAGTTCAATTAGTTTAGAACAGTCAGGATCTTATTTGTAATTTAATAAGGCTGTGCATTGGAACCGGGTACCCGAGTATCCGACCATTGATGTCAGGAATCGGTTCCAGATTATGGGATCGGGCACCCGTAACCAACTTTAACAATTACTTAGTATAACTTCTGAAAGAAAGGTTTTGAATGTCATTTGTGGGGAATTTTCAAAATGAAAACAGGCTACATGAGAAAACAAAACATATTTCCCATTTATGAGGCTTGCAAAAGTGGCAGTTTACAACGTTAGGCTATAAAAGTTCACTGTACACACTTATATCTTGTATTAATAAATACCTTGGAGAGTTGATGGTTTCTGATTGGTCGAGACTCGATGGCCGTGCATTAATGGTGATAATGACCGGCTTCAAAGAACAAGCAAAAAAAATGGCCCCTGAACCAGCATTGATCCAGCCCCATGGAAGGCAATGATTGGCCAAATTTTCAACAGTCATACGGCAGCTTGTAACAATACAGCACTGCACATGCGCTCAACCACCTTCGCGTGAGACTGACGTGCGCGTACGCAACACAGTTGCTATGGGTGCGCACGCACGTAAGGAAGTTTTAAAACGACTGGACATCATACATAAACTGAGCAGTGCAGTATACTGATACTGATGTTTACGACAAAAGCGTAGATCTACGATTTGTTTTCTTTAAACACTTCGCCCAACGACATATTTACCTTTCCTAAACCAAGCATCTTTGTAATTCTGGACACAAGGAGTGTGAAAACGTAATTTCAGCTTCCTCCATCAGGTAAAATTATGAAAACATTGTTGTAATTTGTTTCGCTACGGCAGCAGAAGTCCAAACCCTGGACGTCGTACGCGTACGCAATGAAGACGTTGTCCAGCAATGTCCAGCACAGCCTGGGCCGTGGTGTATATAACAACGCTTATCGAAGAGACAGGGTACCACACATAAGTTAAAATATGGCCCATGAACATGAACACAAAAAAGTCTGGAAATATCGCCGAAAGAAAGTCACAAAATTGGAGCATTTTAACTGTTTATTTTATTAAAAAGGTATTTATTAATGGGAAAAAACTTCATCTCAGTCCATTAACAGTGGTCACCCCCACATCCGGTCATTATCACGCAGTGAAGACCGGCTCCTCACACTGTTCTTCCCTTATTGATGCACCGATGCAGTAGTATTATCATGTGGCTCTTTGTGAACAATCTCAAAAGCACCTTCCAAGGTTTGAATTTTGGGGTTGGGTTTCTTTATAATTAGCGGGTACCCGCTATTTTTCAATTGGGTGCCTAGTTCCTATAGTACCCGTTAATGCATACCCCTATTTAATAAAGAGTTCTTGTGGCATTATTTACAAACAATGTCAATCCAAGTAATCACTGTTACTCCCTGTACCGCCCCAAACCGCTCCAGCCTTCTAAGCTTTTTTTGATTCCTTAAGGAGTAAATGCAGTCTAGTAAAGTACATGAATAAGTTTCAAGTACTGGTACGTGCTAATAGATTACGGCAAGATTTACTGTGGCTGTAATTCCTTACATAACAACAGCATTCTTAGTATTATTCCCAAACTTGATGTTCCATCAAATTAACCCAATATTTTGCAATAAGGCCGAATAAAAAAAATATATCTTTAGTGTCCCCGCCCACTTCCCTTTTAGAGGCCGCCTCCTTTTTTTTCACTTCCTTTTTAGAGGCTGCCTCCTTTAAAAAAAACACAACAACAACATCATTTTGGCTTCTTTGTCTGTTGCATCTAGTCCATATAAAGCTGGTATATCATTTCCTGAGTCCAAGTAGCGGCCATTTAAAAAAAAAGCTGGCGGCCACCTTGACAAATAGGGGTGTCTATCGGTAAATAGGCCCAAATCCATCCGCCGAGCTCATGAATAAAAGTTATATCCTCAAAATATTCTCTATTAGAGAGTTCTGAGAGCCATAAAATTGGGGAATTGAAGAGGTACAATGTATGGCAATGAACCTCTGGCCCGGACTTGGGGCTTCCAATTCTGAGCATTATGGATGCAACTGGGCTCGAAAGTGGCGCTATTTGGCCATGTTGTGGAGGGATCATTTTTTAAGATGGCTACTTTTCCACTTTGGGCAAAATAGGGGTCGTCTTCTTTGGGTGAGAATATCTCGAAAAGTCAATAGTCAACCCACCAAAAAATGAAAAGAAAATGAAAGATGACATGTTGATCATCATATACCTGTGAGAGTTCTGAGTATTTAAAAAAAAAAAATTTGAACTATGGGTATCTAGCACTAGTGTCTATGGGAATTTTACTACCGGCTTGCACTAACTGCATGTTACCTGCTGAACTCAGAAATTTGTATTTATAATAATAATAATAAGATATTCTTAAATATAGCGCATTACATCATCAGAAAAATCTCAATGCACTTCACATGATAAAAATAATACAAACACGTGTAATCCAAAATTAATGGTAACAAAAATGTCATTTAAACACCTTAAAATTATTTTTAAAATACATTAAATATTCACGTGTCTAAAGCATACTTACCACTCGAATGCTGCGGGCGATGACCAGCAAGCCTATTGCAGCAGTAACCGATATGCTGGTCTGAAAAATATAACAAAATCACAAAGACTGTGTTAAATATTTTCGTATTGCATTTTAGACAATCGTGTAGGGGCCCCTATTTTAGTTTCAATCAAATTAGAGTCAAGCCTCTGGTTCAGTTCATTTCAGTTCACTGAACTGATCTGAAGGTGTTTTTATCATTCCAAACGGTAAGCAGACTTCTCTCAATTCTAAAGCCCCAACACATTTACGGTTTGGAGAGCTGAATATCCACGGTTCCCAAGAATCAATCGATCTCAATTAACTGTCGAGATTTGTGGAGAAATCGACTTTCTAAGAACGCACTACGGTTTCAGGATGGATAGCCACGACGGTTTCTCTACAACTATACCACGATTTGTCAAGCATATGGACGGATTGGTGAAGAATATCAATGGTATTACTAAGAATAATTATGTTAATGCCACAATTGTCTGCGATTGGGCAACAGATGACCAAGGTTTTCCTACGAATAAAGCGTGTATTCGTAGTACAACCTTAGCAGAACCCTAGCACATCCAGGCATATCTGTAGGACATTCGTAGCCAATTCGTAGAGATTTCTACCAAGAATGAGCTACGAATCTCCAAGAAAATACGAATAGTCACGAATGACACTACCAATCAGTTCAGTTGTCCTACAGATGTCCCATGGTTGCACGACGGATTGATTTTCATGATGTTTCACCATGGAAGTTTGGAACAATTTAAAACTTCCTTGGCCCCTCCACAAATACCCAAGGAAGATGACGGACAACCACGGATGTACTAACAGGGTTTCATCTAGGATTTCCAAAACTGCCTGTCATACCCTGGTGCACTTTCAAAAGTACCCGTAGCCCATGGCATCAAGCGTAGTTGGACAGGAATGCACGAACTACACGTTATTAACAAGGCTTTGTCAATGACGTCATTTTTGACCAATGAGAGCACTGTAGAACAAAACAGGACTGTCGGCGCTTCATTCTCGGAAAGCCTCCTAATAGGACTAAATATTTTCAGCAGTGGACAGGAGCTTCACAAACACTTTTGTCTCTCTGTTAATTGGTTGGTTGGTTAGTTAGTAACAAACATCAGCAACAGCCTTGCATGGCTCTAAATCACTGTGTCCCTTAGGCCCTGCAAATGGGTACTGGTATATCGTCATGTCCACGCAACAGGGTCATATCTCCTAAAAAGGGCTGTACATGAACCTGAAATGCGAGTTTCAGAATGTCAAAAGGTCGTACCGGTATCTCGCTTGAAATAACCCGGATGTACACACAAATTCAATGGACGTCGAGATACGACCTTGTTGCACAGAGCGTATTCGCACGATCGAGATAGGACTTTGTTGCAGAATGGAGTTACGACCTTGTTGCACTGATGCGACGATATATCAACTTGTGCCTCAGGTTGTTATGAGTGTGAATACTTCTATTTCCAAATACAGCTATACGGCAAATGGTTCATTGTGCGTAATTGGCCCAGGCCCAGTCAAATCGATATACAGACCCACTCACGGCTAGCTGTTAAATGTGTTTGTCCGGACGTACACAGACAAAAATCAGGAAACTTTGATTTCTCTGCAAACCAATCAACCAACTGAAAGTAATAATAATAAAAGGCCGCCAAGCCATATACCATTTTTTTTTGCAAAGAACTAGTTTTCGAGTACGAGTACTTTGATGATCGAGTACGATCTTGACATGTCGAGTACGAGTACTTTTCTGCCCGAGTACAAGTACCGTCATTACGAGTGCAAGTACTTTGACATTCAAGTGCGAGTACGAGTACTCTAAACAAAAAAGTGCTCGAGTAGTACTCGAGTACAAGTACCGAGTACGAGTACAATAACACTGAAAACACTCCTTCCAAATTACGTGACCCATCACGTCACACATGCATGAACACAAAGGCAGTGGCCCGCAGCTTCCGAGAACATTTTCGAGTTTGTTTTCAAACTCTAAAAACACACTGTCAACATTGACAAAGGGCTAAGCCTCAATAGATCTAAATAGCATGAACCAGTGAACTTTCGAAACCTTGAGCGATGTATTGTTCCATAGAATTAGAAACCTTCAAATCGTACCTATTCAAAGTAGCTTTCACACAGGAGGTAAAAGTTCTTCTTTGCATTTGATGTGTTTCCACGGACCAGACCAGACCAAGTCAACAGAATCCAGTTCCAACAAACTTGTATTACAAGGTAACCCATTGCTTTAATTTTGCAATCTACTTTTTGAGCTACTTTTTTTTTATCTGCATTTGCTTCTGACGGAAATTTTAAAACTTTTGTCCCCATGAAAGGTTTTGATTTCTACCGCTAATTACAAACTCGTTATGTCTGGTATTTTTGTGCAGTACTTAGCATACAAAGATATTTTAATTCTACTTTTTTTCAGGCACAGATCCAGAGGGTGGGGGTGGGGTGTGGGGGGGGGGGGGGGTCAAACACCCCCCTCGCTGTGTCTCAATTTTTTTTTCATAGAAATACATGTACACTAAAATAATGTGAAATCCCCCCCCCCCCCCCGACATTTCCCGAAAGTATGATAATTATACTGTTAATATAGGTTTTCCCGGCCAATTTCCTAAAATGTTCATTCACTTCTGAAAATAAGTCATTCAGTTTCATCTGAATTTGAGAAACGCTCTGAACACGCGTTTCATTTTTGCTACCAGAGCATTCGATTCCATTTCAGTTCAATCAATTAAGTGATTGAGCAGCACCTTTCGTTTATGCTCATTCAGATTCGTTTACAAGACTTCTGTTTCGCTTTTAGTGGGCGATTTCAAACATTCACCATTCTATACGAGTGTCATTCTCACGAGTTGCTCCACCACCCCTCCAATTAGAGCTGAATGATACTATCCTGGAGGAGTGAACTGTTTAAAGCTACTTGGCGTTATGATCCAGAGCGATCTCCGATGGGATAGCCATATTCAGGATATAACCAAGAGAGCCTCATGCAAATTCTATGTAATTCGCGCACTGAAACGCTTCCGCTTGCCAGTGGAAGACTTACTGACCATATACACTTGTTACATCCGTCCCTTGCTGGAGTACTGCGTACCAGTCTGGCACTCCTCAATAACCACACAACAAAGCAACGACATAGAGATGATCCAGAAGAGAGCTCTTCGCATTATCCTCTCCGATCACTATGAGACGTATAAATAACGCTCTCCGGGTGACTGGCCTGATATCCTTGAGTGAGCGAAGGGAACAACTTTGTATCAAGTTTGCGAAATCCTTGTATAAGAATTTCAGACATTGGTTCCCCGAATCACAGAGCTCAATGCGTCAGCTTCGGCACAGTGAGCGACTGAGAGACTTTAAGTGCAGAACGGAGAGACTGCGGAGTAGTACCCTGCCTTACCTAGTCAGACTCATTAATAAACACCTAATGTAGTGTAATAAAATGTCTGGATGTAAAACAAAATGCATTCTTCTTATCACTATGTGATTGAAAGGCGTGTAGATGTACAAAACACAGTTCTTTTTTTTTATCTAGTCTGGGGAGCATTTTAAAAAATTTTAAATCCACATGTTTGTATCAGAGTCTTTTCAGAATATTTCTATGTTTTAACATTATGCAAAAAAAAAATAATGGTCTTTTTAGAATACTTTAATGTCGAACATTATGTATCAATGTGTTTTTTTTTTCAATGATTTCTGTTAATTGCAAATTGTAAACCATGGCAATTCAGTCTTCGGACAGCGAGAATGGTACGAACAATAAAAATACCTTCAATTCAATTCAATACGCTACATACCCATGCCATTTTCCAAAATTTTGATTTGTTTTGTAACCAAAACCTGGCATTTTATCTGCCTTACCCAGTCAGACTCATTAATAAACACCTAATGTAATGTAATAAAATGGTTATGTCTGGATGTAAAACACAATGCATTCTTTTTATCACTATGTGATTGATAGGCGTGTAGATGTTCAAAACACGGTTCTGTTTTTTTATCTAGTCTGGGTAGCATTTTAACATTTTTTTAATCCACATGTTTGTATAAGAGTCTTTTTAGAATATTTCTATGTTTTAACATTATGCATAAAAAAAAATAATGGTCTTTTTAGAATACTTTAATGTCGAACATATGTATAAATGTTTTTTTTTCTTTTAATGATTTATGTTAATTGTAAATTGTAAACCATCGCAATTCAGTCTTCGGACTGCGAGAATGGTACGAACAATAAAAAAAAAACCTTCAATTCAATTCAATTCAATTCTACATTGTATTTCACTTTTAGATTAATGCCATCTGCACCAGATACAATTAGGGGTTTCTTTTTCATTAACCGTCAATCAAATCAGCTGTACCTGAAATCAATTTACATGATTTAGAAAAGGTATGCTTGCGTAAATGAATGCGCATGTAACGTAATTGGCCGTCTGTTTCTCAAAACCGAATACAAGGACAATGAAAACCATTGAACTTTCGTTGAATTGAAATGAGATAACGGGCGTGCATTAAAATTCAGACGAAAACGAATGACTGATTTTCAGAAGGGACTGAACATTTCAGGAAATTGGCCGGGAAAACCTATAATATTCACCTGTGCCAGAATTTAGTCAGAACTGGGCATCGGGGTATTTCTACACTATTCTGATAGCGTTGATGATCGTTGGATTTGAACATTGATTTTACGGAGGCCAAGTGTCCGGAGAAAAAAACCTGTCTACTTTTCAGATTTTTTTGCTGATGAAAACCCCCCTGCAAAAATTCCTGGATCCACCCCTGTTTTTGTATAAATTAGGGTAATTGAAAAGAGTGACATGGGTTGCAATTCGTCGGTCGCTCCATGAACCGGCGTATCTCAATTTTTTGCCAAATTGAGGTTTTGTCATTAACGTTATTATTTCATCAAAGTGCTCATTCTCAGAAAGTTTGATTCCAATCGGAGTTTTAATTACATGTACATGTAACTATAAAGAACGCTAATTAGACCATGCGGCGTATCTCTAAAAAATAAAAAATGCTGCACCACGAAGTGGCGTATCCTGATATGCCGCTTTACACGCTAATTCCCATAGTGCTATGACGTCACAAAGGAGCGTCGTCATGAAAAATTGAAATTTAGCGTTTCACGAACCGATGTATCTTCGTATAGCGGCCACTATTACGCGCGTTGTATAACACAGGATAAACATGATAAAAATCTGTTTCACGAAGTGACAAATAACTTTGGAACTGAATTTCTCAAAAACTAAGGAACTCAGATGCACACGGATTGCATACAATAAAGTTCAATCTATAATTTACTAGCAAAAACAAAACAGCTTGAATTCTTACACAGGGAGTATGTAGAATAAGCCTACAAAATAATGACCAACTTTAAATTGGTTTTTCTTGAAACACAAAAATATGCGATACGTCGGTTCGTGGTGCAACCGACGAATTCTAGGTGTTTAACGTGTCTGTTGTCAGTCTCTACCGAAGTCTCTCTGTGCAAAATAGACCTGAGACCAAATGACGTAATTTACAATGTACTTGGTCTACATATGCGCTTTGCTATGGGAGCAAAGACGGGACGCCAGACGAAGTAGGGACCGTCTACCACACAGGAAAGCGCACATTTATGTAAACAAAGCGTGACGACATTAGGTCTCAGGTCTATTGTGTCTTGATTCTTGTGCCGTTGAGCATCATGCAGTCACGTCTGATCACTGTACCCCTTTTCTACCCTTGAACATAGGTGCATATTCCTGATCTAAGTTCTCTTGTCCCAACATTGTGACGTCATCATCATCATGATAGCAATCAGGGCGGTGTTTCTATTCCTCTTCGTTGCCCACGTTCTTGGAGGTGGTTTCCAGGATGATTGGAATCAGGATGCAAACCTAGAGGAGCTCTTGGAGCGTCTTCTTGACGCTCGCGACGCAAAACGCTTCCAAGAAGATGACTTGGTTGCAAGACAAGCAAGGGTGGGATCAAGATTATACCCGGTAGGCCAAAACAGCATGACAACCACGGTGACTACTACCACGACAATTAGACGCCAATCACACGACGACATCGACAATAAGTTGTGGATCTTACGCTATAAACTGGTTCATTAGCGGCAAGTGAAGGTTTTGCTCTTGTGCCTAAAATGCTAACCAACAGCAAAAGTTAGCACTAATTATGGTCATTCTTCAGCATGGACATGGAATGCACACGATTTGCCATTCTTAAAGCCATAAAATATGGGTAGTTCTGCTTCTGATTCAATGGCATTCGGAAACTTTTTTTCGTGTACAGTCATATGGAGGCGTCTGCGTGTAGTCACGGGTAAAAAGAAGTAATCGATGGTTTGGGTGGGGTTTTTTTTCTCATTTTTCCAATAAAAAAAATTAGGGTAGGGCCTGTCAGAATAGGGTTCCAGTAGGTAGGGAAACCAGATACAGAACTATAATTTCTTCTGGCCTAAGTTATTGATTATTAATTAACCCTAACCGTCCTGAATCCTTCAAAATCCGCTTTGCCAAAGTGGAGGAATTTGGAGGATTGAGGTTACATGGCAAAAGTGACCAATTTTGTAGGATGCACTTTGTCAAGGTCTTGAGCTGGATCTTGTGTTGTTTTTGCTCAGCCATGCATAAATACAGGCCTGGATTATGCTTGATCCGCCGCCACCCCCCCCCCCCCCCCCCCCCCCGGCCCTCTCGGCTCTCAGACTATATAAAATATCCCCTTGCACAGCAAGGGTCTATGGTATTAGGGCAGATTCGGCGATTAATTATGCAAACACGACTGCGTCTTAATCTCTAGATTCTGACCATTCAGCGGGCGCCTTCTGTCTGGCATTCAGTGACTTCTTGTTGTATTAAACTAAAACATGGCAGCAAATTGACCAAACAAAAGCTTAGGCCGAATTTATTTCGAAATGACGTTACAATTTCTTAAGTGGACTTTGATTGGCTGACGCTCAGGGTGGCAAAAAAATGTGCATGCTCGGATCAGACGTTATCTGCACACCCACGGTAAACGTCTGATCCTCAAAATATTTAACGGTGCATGTATATATGCTGTAGCCCTATCTGAGCATAGTTATCAATCTGTGCGAAATTGTCTCATTGTGTGCATAATAAAATTTTGCCAAGTTGTCCTTTTAGCCCTAATGGCCGCCTATCCACACTTGTCTTGTTTCAATGCATGTCCCTCTCGTTTGTTTTGTCTCTCACTGTTTTAGGTTCCTGAGTCAGCAGCTATCGATCTGGAGATTCCGATTATCTACAATGACATGAAAAACGATCACAAATACCCATGGGCCATCTTCAAGATCCAACAGAACCGCGTGGTAGTTGACACCCTCGGCACGGGGGGCTACGAGGAGTTTATCGTTGCTTTGACAGCATCAGGAGAACCACGATACGCCCTCTACGATGTTCCACAGGATTGGGTTTATGCAGAGTTCAACATCGTCTTCATTTTCTGGTTCGTATTATTTGCAAGCTTAGACTGTTTATTGAGCTATTCTTGCACTATTAATACTAAGCTCTTAAATCTTGAAAACATTACAATACGGTAGGACTATATTCTGAAAGGGGGCACCGTGAAATGTGGACAATCATGAAAACTATTGGACAATAGCAAGCACTCTTCATCCCTGCAAATTTGCCGACGGACACACAATTTTTTTTTCAGGCCAATTTTGACGTCCCGATTTTGCCTTTATCAGCGTCCCGATTTCGCTTTAAAAACATCTACATGTAGCTCATTACTAGTCCGAGTAACTAGGACCCTACGAATCACCCTTTTTAACATTTGGAGATGGTCAGGCGATAGTAGGGTCCTAGGATCTTAGAGTACACGGCGATACCAATAACCTATTTTAACCATTTTCACTTGTACCCCGTATCAAAATCTTCAGATTTCACCCCCAAACTGGCTGACGCGCCCCTGTAGGCTTCAGTGGGAATTGAAAATACAAATGGTGGTGGTTAGGTTCACATACCTTTGGGAAGAAAAGAGAAATTTTACCTTCAATTCGGGAAACATCCTTGTCGCACACGCCTTGTTGGAGGCTGCCATTTTGAATTCAGGAAAAATTGACTGGCATCAGACAGACCAATCACAATGCACTTTGATTGGTCGCCTCCAATCAAAGTGCCTTGTGATTGGTCTGTCTGATGCCAGTCCATTTTTCCTGAATTCAAAATGGCAGGCAGCCTCCAACAAGGTGTGTGCGACAAGGATGTTTCCTGAATTGAAGGTGAAATTTCTTTTTTCTTCCCAAAGGTATGTGAACCTATTTGTATTTTCAATTCCAACTGAGGCCTACAGGGGCGCATCAGGCAGTTTGAGGACTGTTTTGGGGGTGACATCTGAAGATTTTGAAATGGGATACGAGTGTAAATGGTCAAAATAGGTTATTGGTATCGCCATGTACTCTAAAATCCTAGGACCCTACTATTGCCCGACCATCTCCAAATGTTAAGCAAGGCGATTCGTAGAGTCCTAGTTACTCTGACTGGCTCATTAAAATGTGCCACTCTGCTGGTTAACAACTGCTTGGGCCAAGACTACTGGTGCGTTTCAAGTATGTCACCAACGATGGTACATGTATACTTTTGGAACGACGGTTAATATTTTTAGGCTATCCAGTGGTTGGGCTGTCGATTCTAATAACTCAAAATGTAATCTCACTTTCCGTTCACTATCATGGCAGGATTCCTGATGACGTCCCCTGGTCAAAAGCTGTGCCATACGGCAGAACCGTGGTAGGCTTAAAGCAGAAATTTACAGGTATTAAGACAATTATGGAGGCATATGGAACAGCTTCATCAATCAAAGACGACATGATTTACACTGTAAACAAATGGTATGTTGGCAAGTAACTTCAACCTAATTTATCCGAACCTTGCAATCATTCTTTGCACTTCATGCACACAAAAGGCCTATACAAAAACATCAAGTGCTTAGGGTTACCAGGCATGCAACTGGGAAAACTCAAAAAAAGAGGAAATTCAAATTTTTCCCAGACTTTGTACAGTGTTTTTCTATTTTCAATGGCACACATGGGAAGTAAAAAAAGAGGAAATCAGCTGATCCGAGGAAAAGTTGCATGCCTGGGTTACATGCACATCTTATGACAAAAATTTGTGACATTTATTCTCTTATTATTTCTTTGTACAGGGTGATTAAAAAAAAAACACCAAATGTTGGGACCATTGTTTTACGGAAGTTCTGCATGTAGCATTTTCAAAATCTAGGATATGAAAGCCCAATTCATAAGCTTTCTTTTAGTACAAGAATAATTCAAATCACTTAAATGTACTTTTCAAGTTACGGAATTTTTAAATACAACCACCGTTTAAAGGTTCTGTCCACGGATCACAAAAAAGTTCAGTGTTCTTTCAGCAAAACAAAAGGAAATCACATAGGGATCTGTGTGAATTGTTTTCGTTTTGCTGTAAGAATGCACACCTTTTTTGTGATCCGTGGACAGAACCTTAAAACTGTGGTTGTGTTTAAAATTCTGTATCTTGAAAAGTACATGAGTGATTTGAGTGATTCTTGTACTGAAAGAAAGCTTATGAATTGGGCTTTCATATCCTAGATTTTGAAAGTGCTACATGCAGAACTTCAATCAAACAATAGTCCCGACATTGGGGTTTCGTTTTTTCTTTACTCACCCTGTATGTTTATAAGAAACCTGGACAGTGAAATACTTATCACGACAATGCTCAAATCGATGCAACATAGTCTCTTCATTGTTGGTTGGTTATTCATTTTCTAAAGTAGTTTTAAAAATCAATTATCCCAGAAACTGAAATATATTACAAGCGTTGGTATCTTTCCCACTTTTACTTCCGGTGTAAAAAATCATTTCCTTTAAATCCGTGACTATTTTGATGAATTACAATTGTTGAAACGACCGAGAGTATGAAATAACGTAAAAAAATAGGGGGGTTAGTGTGTCAAAATTATCAACTTTATCAAGTTATCAAGCCTTTTAAGGTTTCTTTAAGTTTTGTGCGGTGATGGTATTAATCAGTATAAATCTTATTTATCTTCTCAACTGTGTTAGTGTTAGAATCCTACTATTGCATTTTTTTTTTTAAAGCTATAGTCCATCATTTGCAGCCATCCGAAAAAGTAACTGGCGTATTATTGTTGAAAAACATACTTGGTTGAAAGATAGTAAGTGGACTAAACTCCCTGTGAAATTAATCTTTCTGGCAAGCTATCATTTTGAAGTAATCAACGAAAGAAGGCCTTTCCAACGGTGCGTCTTAAGACGCACCGTAGGAAAATTTAAATTAGTAGTTAATTTTGTTTTTCGGCGCAGCGCGCGCAAGCATTGGCACGACGCAGAGACGCGCGCGGTTGCCATAATTCGTCAGATCCATGCGCGACATCGCATATAGCTGCAATTCAAAACAATTCAAAACATGATTCAGCAACTTTCAATTTGAAATTGAGATCCTAGAATGCTGTTTTTCTCGGAATATACAGCTAAAGCTGAGCTGAAACTTCATCAGGTTAGTTGTTCAGTATCCTTCATTAGATTTAGAACACTTTGTTGCTTCAAACGAACAAAATGCACAAATTACAAATGATGGACTATATCTTTAAAGAATTTATTTTATATATTTTAGTATTTGTTTTATTCCATAGGTCATGTCTTTTAACGTATCTAGTCTGTCATTAAGTTATGGTAATAGTATTAACAGTATCTATCTTATTTATCTTCTCAACTGCGCTAGTTTTAGAATCCTTCGATCATTTCATTTTTGTTATTTTATAAAATAGTCTTTTTTTATCCTGTCGGTGGTGTGGGTTTAAAAACTGTCTCCAAGTTGTCATTTTCAAAATTTATGTTTAAGCCTGTGAATTCTGTAATTGGTGCGTTGTTAATTGTTCCTCTTTGAAAGAATGTTTGTGTAAAGAATTATCAGTATCACATGGTATACAGCGTGTCCCAAAAAAAATGTCCCTCTGGTAGACTGCTAAATTAATTCCAAAATTAAGTATTATTCTAAATTTAGTTTTCAGATTAAGAAAGCCCATTTAATTTTCTAACTTCTGTAAAAATTCCATTGGTCTCGCTTCATTGGTTTTGAATACACAGTCTATTATGTAACAGCAGTGCTTTTCAGTCCATTCCAAGTTTGCAGGTGGAAGGATATGCAGGAGGACAATAAAGGTTTACAAGCTGGACATTGAAGAACAAACCATAAGTGGAACACACACTGTGAAAGCAAACACGACCAGTGGAACTGAACTTTGATTAGTTTTCATTTAAAAAAGTAAACGAACTTGCCTTTAGTTACTTAATAACAACAACACGAACACAGTTGTTGAAATAAAAGTGAAGCATGGAATAAGGTATGGTATGTCTGTAGTGTGCATTTCTTTTTATCAAACTTGGAATGGGCCGGAAAGCACTGCTGTTGCATAAAAGCCTGTGTATTCAAAACCAATGAAGCGAGACCTTTGAAATTTTCACAGGAACTACAAAATTAAGTGGGCTTTCTAAATATGTAAAGTTAATTGAGTATAAAACTTGATTTTGGTAATTATTCTGTGGTCTATGAGAGGGACATTTTTTTTGGGACACGCTGTACAGTGTTTATACGTCAGTGAAGGGCAGAACCTAATACTGAATTTACATCACCCAGACGCAAGTATTCCATCTTATGAATAATGTTTGTGTTGTTTACTCAGATTAAAATGTTTATCAGCATGCATACATGTATCGTTCCCTTCTTTGTTTTTCTTGCCCTGTGACATGTGGAGTGGAGTGCTGTTGCCTTGTGGTTAAGAGCATTGAACTCGTTGTCTGTGGGTAATTCTGCCGGTTGTGGGTTCGAGTCCAGCCCGGGGCTATGGTGCGTGTGCCCTTGGGCAAGGCACTTTGTCACTCATTGCTTCTCCCCACCCAGAAGTAAATGGGTATCTATGAGGGCAGAGATGGTTATTGTGGTTGATTGCTACTTTGCACCGAAATGGCAGCATTGAGCTGTATACTCCCCAGGGAGCTGAGATGGTATTTGAAATGTTTCATGGGCCCAATGAGCAGGGGTAATAATGACGTAGCGCCTTGAGCACCAGTCCTGGTGGATACGTATGCTTTATGAATACCCAAAAAATAGTTCTGCTTCCGGTTTCCCTACCTACCCTATTCTGACAGCCCCTACCCTATTTTTTTTTAAGTATGAGAAAAAACACCCAAAACCATCAATTTCTACCTTTTACCCTTGATTACACACCGACACCTCCATATTATTGTACACACAAAAAAATTGGCAAAAAAAAAAAAAAAAATTCCTACCGGTACCTACCTACATGTACCCTATTTTCAAATGCCATGTATTTGGAAGCAGAACTATTTTTTTTTGGCCTCCCTTCTGGAATTAAAAGCAACCTTTTTATTTAATCAGAGTTGACCTTTAACCTTCCTTGTATGAATCTATTCATACACTTATTCCCAACGTGGAGTATGAAGCTATTTACTAATAAATTCATCATTATGCACGCATGCGCATCAATGGGCCTGGCGGCAAAACGCGGATCCATTGAAAATATACAGCTCTACAAACGTTTGGGTCATTTTCTCTCAATTTGTCCAGGATTTGTCGCTTTTTTCTTTAGAAACGAGGCATATTACTTTCTGACCTACATGTAAGTGGGTTTTTGGGGGCACAAAATAAAAACTGAAAAATTTGCTTTCGTCCTGTGCGCACGAGGTCGAAGGAAATCACCAAGGCTTCTTTCCATACGTGTCAACAAATTGTCGTATATCTGACGAAGTGACAAATGGGCCATTTTGTTGGTTTTTTTTTTAAATTGAGTTTTAGGGTTAAAAATATTCAAATTTTCCGATTTTTTTAGGTTTTTAATTCATGAAAACACTTCAATTTTGTAGTTCCAAAACCCACTTTGTGACGAATTGGGAAATGTCGAAAAAACTGTTTCTTGCAAACTGACAATTAAATTATTCGACGCTTGACAGCGCGCATCTATTATCTGACGAAGTGACCTAACGACACCGCAACATCATAATGAAGACTAAAAAGTACCGTAACTACTTCACCTTTTTTGTGTGTGTGTGGAGTTGTAGTCGTTAAAAAAAACGGAGTACTAGGCTAGGTCTGCGTGACGTATAGGCGTATATACCTAAATAGACTAAGATTTATTTAAAACGTGATATATTTTCCTTCAAAACTGGCCTTTTATAGAAATTTTGATTTTCACATTTAGGCTTAGTTTGTAATTTTTTTTTTGCTTAAGATGCATACTCATCCTCTTTAAAGGCTAATCAGGAAGTGCTGCCTTTTTCGGATGTCTAATTATCGTGAAATTTCATGCTGAAATTTTAATACGCAAACGTGTGCAAACGAATCTGGAAATTTCACGAAAAATAGACATCTGAAAAAGGCAGCACTTTTTGATTAGCCTATAATTAAGAGGGTGAGTATGCTTCTAAAGCAAAAATAAACTACAAACTAAGCCTAAATGTGAAAATCCAAATTCGACAAGGTTCGACATGTTTTTGTACATGGTGGAAGTGTGGCCTTTATTTACGGAGGTAGTCCAGTAAATTGGCCACATTTATGGGGCTAGTACTTGTCATGCTTGTAGTTTATTTTTGCTTTAGACATGTTAGAAGCATACTAGCCCTCTTTATATAGGCTAATCAGAAACAGCTGACTTTTTAGATACATGTCTATTTTCATTATTTTAATTACTATTAATGGAAATCTAGGTACATGTAGTTCGGTCAAGCAAAACCATTCTTAATCTTAGACTGAATGATCACTAGTACGTAGAGCAACGAACAGAGTCGGCCAATTCACCTTGCCGCCATGATGTACTACTAAACTTGATGCTAGTCTGTGTATAGTACTAAAAAATAAGCAGAGAAAAAATTTTCGCCAGTGCAACCAAGTATTTATAATGCTTTTATAGTTAAAGATGTTTTCCCGTTTATTCATATGGTTTCATTCTTTGCATTGCTTTACCTAGCCCCATCAATTTTGGACAATCGGCGCGAAAATAGAGAGCACGTGCGAAAATAGAGATGACTGTCATCGTTTGCCTCGTACACAGACTTCCATGGCAATTGCGTACGACGCATACAAATTCTGGGAAAGAGAAAGTCAGTTGATACTACGCGTAAAATCTGCCGTACCTACTCCTGCTGGAATGTGACTGTACGAATATAGACATTTATTTGTGCAGCGGGGGTGTCACTGCTTGAAGTATCAGCGCACTCCGGAGCTTGGCCTTTGGTGTACACCACATGCATCGTGCGTGTGTGTACGTACGTACGTATGTGTATTACTGGCCGCACATCTATGGGATATGGGGTCATATGGCCGCGGCCGCCGTCGTTCATTTCAAGGCCCGGCTTGGTGCGCGCGTAATTGTAAACTCACTTCAGTGTTTTTGCGGTTTAAAACAAGAAATTAAACACAGAAAATATCATATGATTGCTAAAGATATGGACGTACATTAGAATTTTTTAGATGTTTCAGAAATTCTACCAACTCAGGGACTGATATATGTGCCGGGCAGTCAGGCTCAAAATTACCCCAAGTGCCGGGGGGAGATTTTGAGAGCTGGGCGGCCCCGCCCGCCGCCGCCCGGCGTAGCTACAACCCTGATTTAGTGAAAATCAAAATTCCACAAAGTTCAACATGTTTTTTTGTTCATGGTGGAAGTGTGGCCTTTATTTACGGAGGTAGTCCAGTAAATTGGCCACATTTATGGGGCTAATAAATTACCAAGTTTTACCACGCTTAGCCCCACTAGTGTGGCCGCAGTATTCTGCGCTGAACCTCTTACTTTTTTCAATTTCATTCAATAAATTTCTTACCCGAAAAAGCCGAATATGTTCGTCAATGAAGTCCGTACACATCTGGAAAGTATTCGCTAAGTGACTTTCGTTCTTTTCCACACGAACACTGCGTCCTTCATCAGTCATGTTTTCTGATATCTGAAGATTAGATTGTGTTTTTCTCTCACAAACACCAGCAACAGGATTCTCCGTGGGCGCCGCCATTTTGAATAAACGCGCGCAAACGAGCCGCTAGATGGCGCCCTAACCTCTTAACGGATGGCGATTTTTCGAACTCGACTTTCACTTTTTTCGTATCAGCGATGACATTTGGCAAGTGACCACTGTACATAGAGCGCGCCCTCTATTCCAAAAATTAGAGCTTTAAACCACTTGGTAAGTTCTCAGTCTCCGTGCGATAAAAAAAAAAATTGACAGAAAAGTATACCTGGCAAAATTGTTTTGGGTAAAAAATGCCCTTGAACAAAAATTTTACACTGAAACTTTTTTGGAATTTCTTAGGCTATTACACAAAAAAGAGTGTGACTTTTTGGCCATGAACGTTGCTTTCATTCGGATTAATTTTGCACATTTAAAACACAAAATTGTTTCGATCTCATTTTCTTTCTTTTTTGGACGAATTCGCATGAAAATATACTCCTAAATGTGATACATCATGAAGAATTTCAATTCAATAAAATCAGTAAATCGTGACTTATCACCCGAACCATAAGATATTTTTGACACGTACGATGAGTAAGTTGCTTCGGTCATATTATTAACTTGGCGATGGACTGCAGTGGCAGTCCAAACAGAACATTTGCTTCACTTTTGCACAGGAACGATAGTCCACGTCTACACGCTATCTCAAAAATTAATTGGAGCATTGAATTGAATTGTGGCCAGATGATTGGTCATGAAAAGAAGACAAACTAGACAGAAGATTTAAACGAAACATTGTTTTTCTCTCCCTAAACAGTGTCTTGTGTCGCGACACGGAGAACAACTTGGCGATGGGCTGCAGTGGCAGTCCAAACAGAACATTTGCCTCACTTTTGCACAGGAACGATAGTCCACGTCTACACGCTATCTCAAAAATAATTGGAGCGTTGAATTGAATTGTGGCCAGATGATTGGTCATGAAAAGAAGACAAACTAGACAGAAGATTTAAACGAATTATTGTTTTTCTCTCCCTAAACAGTGTCTTGTGTCGCGACACAGAGAACAACTTGGCGATGGGCTGCAGTGGCAGTCCAAACAGAACATTTGCCTCACTTTTGCACAGGAACGATAGTCCACGTCTACACGCTATCTCAAAAATTAATCGGAGCATTGAATTAAATTGTGGCCAGATGATTGGTCATGAAAAGAAGACAAACTGGACAGAAGATTTAAAAGAAATATTGTTTTTCTCTCCCTAAACAGTGTCTTGTGTCGCGACACGGAGAACAATTTGGCGATGGGCTGCAGTCATGGGCGTCGCGAGGGGGGAGGGGAGGGGCAAGGGGGGGGCACTTGCCCCCCCCCCCCCGGAAAAGAAAAGAAAAAGGGGAAAAAAAAGAAAAAGAAAAAAAAGAAAAAGAGGCGCGAAGACAAAGTGGTGTAAATTTAATGAGTTGGGGGGGGGGGGCAAAATGTCCCTGTCCCCCTCTAAAACTGATAAATCGAGAATGTGTTGAGAAATACAAGCATTTTTTTGAAAATTTTTTTGGCCCCCCTCTAGAAAAAAATCCTGGCGACGCCAATGGTCTTCTTTTACTCAATACTAGTGAGGCATCCGTGGCCAAGTTCGGGCAAGGACCATTAGTCGACTACTGGTTGATTTGTGACGTACCTTACGCCTGCGCTCTGATGGCAACGTGCGAACGTCTCCAGTCAAACGCTGGTCAAAATGTCATCGCAAAACTTCTGGGTCCTGGCTCTCTGCTTGCGTTATGATAGCCTTTAGTCAAGTCCCACGCGCCTACACCCGGACCATCCGGACACGTAACGCACCCTGGATGCTGGCACGTAAAAAGACTAGCACGAGCGGCAAAGCCGCGAGGGCCTTTACTATCTCGTGGAACTAATCACTTTACGGTAATTATTCATTTATTCACGTAATATAAATCAAGTAATTTAAACCAATCATCTAACGGTGGTTTGCGGTTACCAGCAACAGCACGCGCGCCATGGCTGTCCGCGCCAGACGACGGCTGCATTATTTACGTTTAGTAATGCTGCATTTTCATTGGTAAATTCACAACGGGTAATGCATTATGCATGTCTACCAAATCGGTAGACAAATGTAAAGAAAAACATAAGCGTTCTCCACGAGATGGTAAAGGCCCTCGCGGCTGCGCCGCTCGTCCTAGTCTATTTACGTGTCAGCATCCGGGGTGCGTCACGTGTCCGGGCAAGCGCGTGGGACTTGACTAAAGGCTATATAGCGATATGAATGCGCGCGGCTATTGGTTACCAGCGATGCAACCAGCCCCAGTAGGCTGGTTCCAAATAGTCGACTAGGGTAGTCAACCACCGTCGACTAGACGTTAGTTAACCATTGGTCAACTATAGTCCTTGCGCGAACTTGGCCAAAGTTGACGCTGTGTAGGCAGCCAAACCACTGTGCATGTGGCGCGCCCTCTATTGAAAAAAAAATAGTATTAAACCGCTTGGTACATTTGTCTCCGTGCGAGAAAAAAAAGCCAGAAAAGTGAAGTTGGAACAAGTGTTTTGGGTAAAATGCCCTTAAAAAAATTGAACAAAGGAACTTCTTTGGAATTTCTTGGTTATTGCACAAAAAGGAGTGTGAGTTTTTTGGCCATGAACCGTAATTGCCTTCATTCGGATTAAGCTTTGAACGTTTAAAACAATAAATAGTTTCGATCTCATTTTCATTCTTGGTAGACGAATTCGCATGAAAATATACTCCTGAATGTGATACACCATGAAGAATTGTTGGAGGGAATTTCAATAAAATACAATTAGTAAATCGTGACTTATCACCCGAACCATAGAGTAGTTTTGTCACGTACGATGACATTCATTTGGAGTTTATTTAGGTTCGCACGTATTATTTGTACCATTTGTAAATTCGCATAAAATTCAATTTCCGAATGTGACACATCATTAGAAATGACTTGCCGAAGTTGCAGTATAATGGTATTTCTACATCTTAGGAGACGCTCCACTTGCTACTACATCATCCTTCCAATATCTTGGCATTGTTAGTGATGCTAGACTTACGGGTCTTCGTTCTCGTGTACTAAAATTTTAGAGTGTGAAAATAAATGCTTCTATTTTGACCAGAATTAATTTCCTGGACTGAAATTCGGACCAAAATATCCCTTATATAAAATACTTATTTGCGACGAATAAACACAGCTTGGAAATTCCTAATTTTGGAGTAAAATCCATGTACCTATTTCGTGAAAACCTTATGGAGACAAATTGCCTTGTGGAGGCCTTTTGTGCCGTATGGTACACACGTCTCAATATAAGGTAGTGAATTACGAAACACTCTGTCCCGCCCATACCCCAATAAAGTATCCTTTGTAGGCCTATGTCAAACGACGTTTTCAGAGATTTGTCATTTTTTACGCAATGTGTTAATCTGAACTGCAAAAGGCTTCAGTTCCAAACACTTTAATTCTTCCACAACTGACTGATATTTTCAAAACTATTAGGAATTCCCCCAAATTCTTAGTTGTTTGCCCCAAACATTTTCAACATATTCTGGAGAGCAGGTTCCCCAAAGGTCAAATCAAACAAAGTTCTTGGCAGCTCAAATTCCCACGCAAACTCTAGAATTCATTCTCCAAATGCTCATTGGTGAAAAAAAACACCCCTGTTTAGGCCAAAAAAAAAGGTCTCCGGTTTCTGGTATGCGCGCGCGTCGCCGTAGCCATGCGCGTCGGCAAAATGAAAAAGTTTTTTATTTTCAATGAAAGATGATGTCTCAAAACCGCCAAACTCACTGCTTTGACTGGAATCCTGCTGCTGCACAATTTTAACGTGTTTTTAGATTGGGTTATGGTCGAGAATAAGCTTTATGTGGCCTCTCTGGACTTCCATATATTTGCACTAAGTTTAGTCGGGCACCATTTGCAGTCATCAGCCGACATTTGAAGCCAAAAAATCAGGTAAAAAAAAAAAAAAAGCCGCGTCGCTGCACCACTTTTTGGGCAAGCTCCATACCAGAAACCGGAGACTTTTTTTTTTTTTGGCCTTACAGACAAAATATTGAAGTTTCTGGTATCTTGCGGTTTTGTAGTACATGTTACACTGACGGGCGCATATACTAGACATCACAATAACCTTTTACTGCAACTTTTGTTGACCCCGCAAGTGCGCGGTGTGCTGTGACAATATTTCCTTTCATTTAAGACTAGTGGTTGAGACTAACAAACCTTCTCGCCACTAACAATATCTTCACAAACAATAATATTTAATATTCGGACTTATCAGAAATTAAATACAGATTTTACTTGAGCTTAGGGTGCTGAGGTAGTATAAAGCAAGACTACACATAATTTTGTTGATTATATTTAACGAATATATAGATAAAGATATTTTGAAATACAGGGTGCCCCCCCCCAAAAAAAAAAACCGGCACGGCGTACTTCTGCTATCCCGAGAATCCAACAATCTAAACCAATGCATTGGGAATTCTGTTAAAAGAAATATGTTACCAAGATCGCTTGATTCGGCCCTGTAGATAGTGTTGTAGAGAATATTTTGTCTACAACAAAGTTGAGAGTCAATTTTGTCCCGATGAATTACTAAACCGCGCCCGCGAATTTGACTTAATTGGAAAGAGGGATTAATTGTTATGAAATAATACCTACATGAAAGAGGTGTGCTTCACAATAACGGCTCTGCAGTAAAAACTGCTGGACCGAATCGGGAGATCTTGGTATCACATTTCTCCTAAAAATATTCTCCATCCATGCAGGTGGTTTGAGTCTCAAGGTAGAGGAAGTATGCCGTTCCATTTTTGGGGGCCACCATGTATAGAAAAGATTGTTAAATATTGAAAATAGTAGACCATCTGAGCTGGAGTCTGGACGCGCGATCCACATGCTACTGTAGGGATATACATAGACGGACAAAAGTTTGCAAGATGGAGGATCTGTACACAATAAGCCATTTGCGTGTTAAATTTGCATAAACTCTGGAACACTGACTTAATCCAGTGCTTTGCACGTTTTAAGTTTGCATTCTCCCGACCAAAGAGACTGTTACTATATCACGTGATTCGGGGCAAGCCTTATGCTAGCTACCCCCCAGCTCCAGCATGGTCTGGTGTCTTTGTGCCATTCTCACCCATTGTGAACAATGTATTGGTGCTGAGCGTCTCTTACGTAACTATGCAAGAGCTTGCCCCGAATCATGTGATTAGCAACAGTGTCTTTGGTCTGGAGTATACAAAGTTAAAATGTGCCAAGCATTCTGAGCAAGTCAGTGTACCAGATGTTTTTGAAATGTAAATCCCAAAGGGTATAGGTTACTCGCAAATGGCTTATTACCGGCATGTGTGATAGTCTTGTTTCAAGACTGGTTTTCAAGTTTTATTCCCTAGACGGTCCCTGACCAGTATTAAAGCAGCCATTGCCATAGAGGTATCAACGCATTGTATTCAGTGCATGAGCGTGAGGTTTACTCGGCATTTCCTGGGTAGCGCTGCCAAAGTTCCCAAGGTTGGATTTGATTCATTTTGTTGATAGTGCCCTCTTCCGCTGCGGCAGCTTAGCTGTGCTAATTGTCACAAGAGAATTTCAGTCTTGAATCAAGACCACACACAACTTGGGCATGAGGGTCTGGTAACCCCTGCGGCAGTTGCTTTTTACTTGGCCAATAGGTAGTAGAAGGAGCCCGACCAAGTGTAGCGATTGCGCTGCCATTGGGACTGATGCGCCGTGGCCCCGCGGTCCACGGCCCGCGGGCCGAAGTAGACGGAGGTGAAGGCAACTCGCCCCGAGGGCTCGTCAGTCCGCGGGAGGCCGCTGTGACCACATCGGGTTGAGCCGCCTGCAAAACAGGTGAGCCGATCTCCTGTAAGAAATGGAAAAGAAAAGTAATAAAACCGTCACATTCAATCATTCAATTCATCAGACTGTATAAAGTTGGGGGCACAATCACATAGACCACCCACCTTCGTCCAACAGCCCGGACAAAGTGGGGACACAACACCATTAACCTCTCACCTTCTTTAAAGCATAGCCCGGATAATTCAAACCGGGAACACAATCACACAACCCACCCACCTTCATTGAGCAGCCTCAACAAACCATAGTGGGGACACAATATAACAGGCCACCGTCATTCGAGCGCAGGGCAAGATGGTAAACAAAAAATTACATAGCGAGTACCTTAGACAAAATTCAATGCAGGGAGACAAATACTATATCCCACCCACCTTAATTGGGTGCCCGGAAAACCAAAGTGGGCACACAATAACATAGCCCACCCACACTCATCGAGCAGGACTGAAAAATAAACTAGGACACAATCTCATAGCCTACCAACCTTCATCGAGCATGATTGACAACTTAAAAGTGGGAACACAAATCCCAACACATCTGCAACCTGCACATCTCACAGAGATGCCACTTTTCCAGTTTTAACCAGAATTCCGTTTTTTTTTTAAAATCTCTCAAAATTCTGGTTTTTCCGGTCGTCAAATTAACCAGAAAAAGAGAAGAAAAACTGTGGAAATGCGTTGATTTTTTACCTCATTTAGTACATTTAGGCGCACGCATGGCACAACGTTGTTCGTTGAAGTAGTCTTAAAAACAGTCTTTGTGTATGTTGTTGCCGAGCCTGCATGCGATACAACCGGCCAACGTACTTACAACGGCGCCTCGCGCGTGCTTCATCGCGTGCGGGGGTGTTGTGTGCTAAGCACACGTAGCATTCAGCCTGGAAACAAAGTCTATCATTTCAGCTATCGGTGGTTTCCGTTCGCAGTGATATGTGAATACAAAAAATGCAGGTACCAACCATGTTTTCGTTGAGCGCATCGCGTAGTGCAAGGATCATGTACACCGACAGCAGTGTTGTGGAATCGTGCATGTTTCGTGTCGAAAATTACGTTGGAAATTCGAGTAGGCAGAATAAATATTAGGAATAGGGAAAAAGTCAAAGTGATTGAACAAACCGACAGCTTTAAAGGCCATAGAAGCAAAATTAAAAAATAAACAGAACTTGGCTTGGCTACAAGATAAAGATGAAGACGGGGACTTTGTGTCGGACACGGAGTGGCTTTTTCACACACAAAAAAGTCTGGTTTTTTCAAGCAGCCATTCCGTTTTTTTTCAAGCAGACCCAGTTCCGTTTTTTTCAAGCAGACCCTGTGGCATCTCTGATCTCATAATGGGAGATCTGCTTGCAGTACTGATCCAGACCCAGATCCGGATCAGATCCCGACCTGGATCCAGATCCTGTCTCCAGATCCAATCTTCAGATCCGGATCCAGATCCGAAAATCCAGATCCAGATCCGGATCCAGATATCCAGATCCAGATCCAGATCCAGATCAGATCCCGACCTGGATCCAGATCCTGTCTCCAGATCCAGTCTTCAGATCCGGATCCAGATCCGAATCCAGATCCAGATCAGGATCCAGATATCCAGATCCAGATCTAGATCCAGATCCAGTCTCCAGATCCGGATCCAGATCCGGATCCAGACCCAGTCTCCAGATCCGGATCCTGATCCGGATCCAGATTCAGATCCAGATCCCAAAGCACACCCACCTTCTTCGGTCAGCTCCAAGCGTGTTTTGTCCCCACCGTTCCCGATCGTTAAACTCACTTCCTCGAGCCACGGAAGAGATCGCATCTCCAAGGTGGATGGGTTGAACGAATTGTCCGCCACCATCCGGAACGTCACGTTGGTGAAGACACGGAAGGTGTTGAAGCGCAGATCCTGGATGAGCTTGACGTCTAGCCGGTTGATGATGGTCAGAGCGACCTCTCGCTCGTCCTCGTCTACGAAGTCCCAGACGGACGCCATGCCGCCCCGGCCGAAGCGTGTCCAGCCTCCATCAAACACGTCCATCTCGCAGTAAACCTGTGTTACAGAAAGGATACACTTTAAACATTAATTTTGATTGGTGATGTGGACCTGGCTTGGTCCACACAAGGTTCACACAATTTGCATCGTGTGGACCTGTTTTGTCCTAGGTCCACACAAAGTGAAAGATGGCAAGGTGGGCACATTTTCCCGTGCACGCGATAAAAGTTACCCAGTAGTATTATAGGGTGACGTCACGGTTTGCAAGCACACATAACATACAAATCGAAAATGCAATTAAAGGCCTCGTGTCTTCGTCACCCAGACTGGACATTGTGTAATCCTCTCAAGTCGGCTCACGGCATTGCCGCTCAGTTCCAAATTCTAAAGTCCCGATGGCATAGTCAAAAGGCTAACGCAGCTCCTTGTACAGTGTTTCCCCCTCTCTGGAAAACAGGTTTAGAGGCACTTTTGGGTTAGGTTTATCCGTGGCAAAATAAAGAGGAACACTAAAGGGAATCATAGAAAAAAATAACAGCGTTGCTGCTGAAACCCCTCAGCCAGAGTCAAGTTATCATCCGGAAACCATTAACCATTAACTCAACTTGGTGACCTTGACCTTTGACCCCAGAACCAGTTCAAACATGCCTGTACCGATGGAAAACCCCCTACCAAATTAGACACCAAAATTTCATTTCTAACTGAAGTTATCATTCAGAACCATTTACATTTAACTCACCAAGGTGACCTTGACCTTTGACCTTTTGACCCCAAAACCAATCCCAACTTGCCTACTCCCAAGGGCAACCCCCTACCAAAGTTAGACATCAAAATCTCATTTCTAACTCAAGTTATCATCCGGAAACCATTTACATTTAACTCACCACCTTGACCTTGACCTTTGACCTTTTGACCCCAAAACCAATCCCAACTTGCCTACTCCCAAGGGCAACCCACTACCAAAGTTAGACATCAAAATCTCATTTCTAACTCAAGTTATCATCCGGAAACCATTTACATTTAACTCACCATGCTTACCTTGACCTTTGACCTTTTGACCCCAAAACCAATCCCAACTTGCTTACTCCCAAGGGTAACCCTCTACCAAAGTTAGACACCAAAATCTCATTTCTAACTCAAGTTATCATCCGGAAACCATTTACCCTTAACTCACCACGGTGACCTTGACCTTTGACCTTTTGACCCCAAACCCAATCCCAACTTGCCTACTCCCAAGGGCAACCCTTTTCCAAAGTTAGACATCAAAATCTCATTTCTAACTCAAGTTATCATCCAGAAACCATTTACATTTAACTCACCATGCTTACCTTGACCTTTGACCTTTTGACCCCAAAACCAATCCCAACTTGCCTACTCCCAAGGGCAACCCTTTTCCAAAGTTAGACACCAAAATCTCATTTCTAACTCAAGTTATCATCCGGAAACCATTTACCCTTAACTCACCACGGTGACCTTGACCTTTGACCTTTTGAACCCAAAACCAATCACAACTTGCCTACTCCCAAGGGCAAACCTCTACCAAAGTTAGACACCAAAATATATCATTTCTAACTCAAGTTATCATCCGGAAACAATTTACCTTTAACTCACCACGGTGACCTTGACCTTTGACCTCAAAACCAATCCCAACTTGCCTACTCCCAAGGGCAACCCCCTACCGAAGTTACAACCCCAAACAACATTTCTAACTCAAGTTATCATCCGGAAACCAAGCTACCCGGACGGACGTTCCAGCCAGACGGAATTGTGGGGTGATAGCATTGTGTTCCCATTATCCCTTTTTCTAAAGATTCCCTTCTGGGGTGATGTTTTTCTATTGTGATAAAAGTGGGGTGATGTGTCCTGAAAGGAACATCACCCCACAAGGGTGGTATGGTCAGAACGGACAGACGGACGGACGGACGCCCTAGGCGATGACAATACCCCTCGAGCCTCTCGGCTGAGGGGTAAAAATGGGCTTAAAGAGTTTTTAAGGTGTGAGTAAAATGAGTTTTTTTTTTACACAGGTTTTACTTAACTACACACGAAAACAAAAGAATGTCCACACTAGTATGCAACGTAAACATGTACGAGCTCACCTCTGTATAGACAAAGCTTCGGATGAAGTAGGTACCGCTGGGTTTCCGGCAGGCTTCGTGGAGTTGGCTGCAGGCCGAGGCTGGGTAGAGCGCCGAGCCCATCAGCTCACATGAGTTGGGACCCAGCCCCGAGTAGAACGACAGTCCTGCTTGACAGACAAACAACATCTTTTTTTACTAGAAATAACCGGGTATTTGAGGTTGATTGAGAGCTGGGGCCACGCCTATGCCCTGTTCAGCTCCGTCAGAAAACACATATGTCTGGGTAGAGAACTTCGCCTTGTCTGTGATTTTGTTCTCGGACTCGGCGAACCTTTTTTTTCCGGGGAACGAGCCTGAATGATGTAAAGTTTTATGAACGGTATAATTTGTTAAATAAAAATGTAACACAACGTAAAACATTGAGCATGTAATGGACTACTGTTGTGATGGTAGTTGCAATATGACGGGTGGTGACTTCACCTCGAACACCCAAATGAGCTATTCAGATTTCTTCACACGGATTATCATCGGTTTACCTCCGATCATGTTGACGAGTTCCTGTGTCTGTTCACACTGGTCCTCCTCGGGAGTCAAGGCAACGTTCAAGGAGGCCACCGTCAGCTTCTTCATCTTGTTGCTGTCTTGCTTGAGTTTGGACAGGCTGTGCTGAAGGCTGGCGGTCAGGTTCTCTAAGGTCGTGATGCGGTTCTCCATCCCTACGCGACAAAGAAAATAGGTCATCACCTCTACCAGGGGAGGCGTAACAAGACAGTGGCGCAACCACTCAAGTCCCCTTAAGTCCCTCATCCCCCCCCCCCCCAAAAAAAAGGAAAGAAAGGAAGCATCCCTAAGCCAATCTTATAAGAACCTAAATTTGTGACGTACCTTACGCCTGCGCACTGATAGCAACGTGCGAACGTCTCTAGTCAAACGCTGGTCAAAATGTCATCGCAAAACTTCTGGATCCTGGCTCTCTGCTAGCGTAATGAATGCGCGCTGCTATTGGTTACCAGCGAAGCAACCAACCCCAGTAGGCTGGTTCCAAATAGTCGACTAGCGTAGTCAACCACCGTCGACTAGACAGAGTTCGGGCAAACGTTAGTTAACCATTGGTCAACTATTGTCCTTACGCGAACTTGGCCATAGCTTAAAATGACCACTGGAAAACGGTGGCGTTTTGCCTTTTAAACAAAAAAGAGAGATCATTGGATTTTATGGTTTTGGTATCAGATTAAAGCTGAGAGCTTTTTCTTTCAAATACGGAAAAAAATCATGAAAATAGCACTTTGGGTTACTGAGAGAATGCCAATTATGTAGAAGTAGTCATTTTTTTTTCGAAACGCCGAGCGTGAAGTTCTCCAGAAACACATTGGCAGAGTTTCAACACGAAATCACAACTCGAAAAATCATCAAGTCTATAAATTCACAGAAAGGCAAAAAAATAAATCATCATAAAAAAGGAGAACATTACCTTCATACTGCGCAGGGTCGCAAGTACACGTCGTCTCTTGGGCCGTTGTTATGGCAACCGAGATGGTTGCCATGACGATAATTGACGACAGGATTCTCATTATGTATGTGCTTAACAAAGAAAGAAGTAAACAAAACCAGATGTGCATGTGATTTTGTATAATTGCGTTTTATTGTTTAAAGTTAAATCCCTGCCAGCACCTAAACACATTATCGTGGTGTTTCCTTTTAAGATTCATTGCAAAAGAAATACAAACTCAAATCCAATTGTAAATTCCTTTCTTTTCATCATAAAGGTTGTTAGTTTCCAATGAGACATCGCATCAAAAATATCGATCAGCGATTAAGTGAAAGGTTTCTTACTTTGTTTATTAAATGGAACTTACCAAATCCTAATTCTAACAAAATCAATCAATCATTCAAACAAAGCATTCATCCTGCGAGAAAATCCACCCCCAAATATAAATGGAAAGGAATATAATTCAAATTGTGTAATTTGTATGTTCAAAACAACTTTTCTTCCAAAATTTGTTTACACGGAGAGATAATTCATTTTTACTTCAAATACAGGGTGTCTAAAAAATTTGCAGCAGTCAACCATAAATATTTGGAAAAATACTAGCGCTCTATTTTTGCAAAACTTATCTATAGAGTCTGAAGATAGTAAATACTCTACACAATGGTCTTTATCCCATCATTGTGACACCCCAGTCCAGAGATACAGCTAATTTAATGAAAGGACTTGAATTCCAAGGTGGGCCACTTTTGTCTTGGTATCTAATGAAAGCCATTAACATACCAAGATTGTGAAGAAAGTGGCACAAACAGATTTTGACGGTCTTTACAAGCTTTGCCGTAACTTTTAAACAAAAGCTCCAAATCACAGCGAACAAAGATCCTGTCAAGGGTAAAGAAACACTCTATCATCTCATGGTATTTGTTTTTACAAATTTTTTTTTTTTTTTAAATTTTTCCTCAGAAAAAAACCCCACATTGTTCGACTGCTATATTATATTTTAGACACCCTGTGCAGCACACAGACAAAATATAGAAACTCAAATAAGCCTGGGGCGGCGGAACGCGCTTTTCAAACGGGGACGGGGGGGGGAGGACACCAAAAAGGGACACTTGTTCAGAAAGAGGGGCACCTTCCGTCGGTGTGAAAGTGAAGGAAAAGAATATGGTCCGTTCATTTCGCTATAAACCTATACGACAAGGAACAAATTATGAATACGTTGTCCATCTTGCTCTTTGTGTTTCTTTTACCTAGTTATGTAGACATACCTTGTTTTATCGCGAGAGGGGCACTGTTGCTTTTGATGGCCAGTTCAGTGACTATTCTATTCGCGTGAAGAGCACTATTATTTTTAGGGGCCAGTTTTTATCATAAGAGGGGGCACAATTTTAATGTTGCGAGTGGGGCACTAATTGTGCTTTCGAGGGGCAGTTTTCCATCTCGAGAAGTTATCGCGAGAGGAGCACTATTGGTTTTGATTGCCAATTTTTCATCTCAAGAGGGGCACAATTGTATTATTGCTAGAGGGGTACTTGTGCTTTCCAGGAGTAGTTTTGCATCTCGAGAAGGTGCACAACCTTGTTAATGCGAGAGGCGTACTTTTGAGGGGCAGTTTTGCATTACAAGAGAGGAGACAATTGTATTTGTAGCGCGATCATAATGCTTTCATGTGTGCGTTTGAGGGGCAGTTTTGTTTTCATCTCGAGGGGGCACGTTTACAATCGCGAGAGGGACACTTTTGTTGGCATGGGAAAACCCCCCTCTCTGTCACCCTCCGGTTCCGCCGTCCCTGAAATAAGCACAAACATTTCCTCCATCATAAACATAAAATCGACCTTCTAAGACGAGCATGACGTGTTGCTATAGTTTTATTGAAGGGGGAAGAGGTATAAGTTGTTTTATCCTCTATTGCTTTCTTCTAAATACCAAGCCATTCTCTGTTTTAACATTGAAAGTCAAAAATATAATAAATGAGACAGAGCAAAAAGGGGGGGGGGGTTTCTCCACTCCACACTTTTGACTTTGTCCTATCGACTTCAGTGACCTAATTTTGTCAAACCGAACGTGGGAAAGATACCTATTTGCTGCTGTGATCATAAATGGGTTATCTTGGGACATCGCCAAAAACACAAGTGTTAAAGGTTCAGTCTCTATCTGTCCCCCAGACTTATCAGAAAGATACTTTTATAACTGCACCATTTTGTACGGCAGAAGAACAGTACATGTTACAAAAAGAATTTTAAATTTACCATGTTCCATGTATGAGATTTGAGTAAAAGGTCCAAAAATTGAATAATTCATATAAAATCACATGATGAAGTCATCATGACGTCACTGCAATTTTTGTCTATAACACGTCCCGGAATACTTGCATACCAAGTTTGAACCCAATTGGACCTCCGGTTCTGTAGATATAGGGCCTTAAAGTATGCACTTTTAGGATGATGTCATGTGACACGTGATGACGTCATGATTCGGCATACATCTTCAGATGGTTGTATAAGTGTGTGCCGGGTTTGAAGTCGATCGGACCGTATTTTATATAATTTTTGCAAAATTTGAAGAAAATATTAAAATTTGAAAAATTCATAAAAAATCAGATGATGACGTCATGATGACGTCACTTCAGATTTTGAATGCTGTTATCTATACCTACCAACCCACCAAGTTTCATAATGATCAGACATACCCTTATATGTGAATCAAAAAATCACGTTTTTGATGACGTCATGATGACGTCACACATTTTACGAAATTTTGTGCATCTATCTATGACCTAACGAACCTGTTACAAAAAGAATTTTGAATTTACCACATTCCGCTTATGAGATATGAGTAAAAGGTCCAAAAATTGAATAATTTATATAAAATCACATGATGACGTCATCGTAACGTCACTGCAATTTTTGTCAAAAACACGTCCCGGAATACTTGCATACCAAGTTTGAACCAAATCGGACTTCCGGTTCTGTAGATATAGGGCCTTAAAGTATGCTCTTTTAGATGACGTCACGTGACACGTGATGACGTCATGATGATGTCATGATTCGGCGCACATCTTCAGATGATGGTCTAACTGTGTGCCAGGTTTGAAGTCGATCGGATTTGAAAAAAAAGCCAAAAGTGACTTGTAGAACAAAAACACGTGTTATCCTATGAGAAAAAAAGTGGGGGAAAAAAAAGAGAAAAACTAAAAATAACAAAAACAAGAGCTGTTTCGGTGTGTACACCGAAACAGCTAAAAAATAACAAAAACAAGAGCTGTTTCGCTGTGTACACCGAAACAGCTAAAAAAAAAATAACAGAAACAAGAGCTGTTTCGGTGTGTCCCACGATCACTGCGCAAATATCGTTTCAACTGGTGTGGGTCGTTATTCCCTTGAATTTCGGTTTTATCATACGCAGACTCCTGCAGCACACGTGCATGCATGCGAATAAATAAAGCAAAGTATGGCGAGGCGTTGTGAACGAGATCCCGGTTGCGACCGCTAAATGATGATGTAGGCCTACATACTCGCTTTTGGTATTTTCAACCTATTTGCACCGCTAGCGACGTAGAGGGCGGAAGAGTATACATCAGAAGTTTAATCCGGTGTCATATGAAAATCGGACTCGTATGGAAATCGGACTCTTTTTCCCTTTTATTGGTTAAACCCTCTCACGTGACCGGTCCCCCTCCTAATTATGCATGAGCATGCGCAATATCACCAATGAGTCCGTATTTCATAAAACCTAAATTCATGCTGCACCGGCTGTGGCAGGGATGAACCGTGAGGTGAAGCAGACGCGGTAAGGTAAAGAAGATTTGAGTTATCCTCTCGAGGTTACAATAAATTTCATGGGGTGTACGGTACTAGTCTATAATCCAAGACTTAGTAAGCTTGTCGATAATTAGTCGGTATTTACTTTTGGGAATAAGTGGTAATATACGAGACATTTCGATGTACGGTACTTCATCACGGATAATTATGAGAAAGAAAAAAGACATTTGGATCTGGAGAGGACCAAGTGTGGGTAAAATAAACGGAAATAAGTTTTGATGTGTTTGATGTTTCCCCTTAGATTCTGTTCGTGTCATTACTGACTTCTTTGCGGCTGGCTTTGTATGAGAAAACAAAACTGTAGAAAGGGCCAAGTGCATGGGTAAAATAAACGGAAATAAATTTGGATGTGTTTGATGTTTGAAGTATTATCGATACATGTCACATGCCTCCCCTCAACTTGAAGTGGCATCATCATCATTGAATTATGTCAACACATACCAGGAAACCAAATGAAAAAAAAAATATCTGTATTTGCCAACTTGCACAGATGAGGGTGGACCAACTTCATAATGTATTACACATTAGGGATTAACGATTTATGCAAATTAGGCACCCTTCACAAAACAATTTCAGGTGTCACCCCTTCAAAATATCTTCTCTAAGGCTATAACAACAAATTTGCCAAGTTTGGTGCTTTGGACCAGCTGGTCACGATCTTGTCAAATATTGGGTCTAAGCCACCTGACTAAACCTCCGCCAAGGCTAAACAATTCCCCGCCATTTTGTCAGTAGGCCTACACCCAAAAGAAATACTCGCATAAATGGTCAAGAATCCTGAACAAAAATCCTGGATCCAGACCAAGATCCGGATCACTTTCAAAATCTAATCGATTTGTACTTGTACCAAGGACCACCCCTACAAAAAATTCATGCAAATCCGTCCATAGCTTTTTTAGTTATCTTGTTAATAGACAAACCAACCAACCAACAGACAAACCAACAAACTAACCAAATCCAATGAAAACATAACCTCCGGAGGTAAAAACGAATTCACTAGCCATAATTATGTGGGGAATAAACACGATGAAATTTTTTTAAACAGCTAAATAACTTCGTCCAAATTTAAGCCGCATCATGCCGAAAAAGGTTTTAATCATAAATGAACACTGATTGCAAAAAAAATGTGTTCTTGCCGATACGAGGAACAACAATACAACACATCTGAAGCAGCTTATTTAAAATTTAACCTGTTAAAATGTCAGCAAAGTAGATAGGCCTATCCTTTTTCAGAACCTGCGAAAATGCATCTACATCTTTCTCAACGCAACTGAGCATAGGTCCTAGCCATCGCGAGGAAATTATGGCAACCTCTTTTCTCGAAAATGACAACATACTAGGCGCAACGATTTCACAGGATACTTGATCCTATTATTTACTTTCAGTCAAGTAGGATAGTTCATGATATTTTGACAGTGTCACTTTTGAGTGTTTGCAAAATGGTGTCCATTACATTTATATCATTTCTAGCATTGTGCAGGCACAAAAACAATGTTGTCATGCATAAAAGATAAGTTACCTAGGTCTATGGCGCATAACGAAAACGCAAACCAAAAATATGGTGATGTCCAATTAATTGCCAAATCTTCAAAGAACTACAAGACTTACCTTTCGAGAAATCACTCAATCGTAAAAATTGCAATTGCTTTTCAGATCGTCTTCTTTACCCAAAACTTGACAAACCGATTCAAACCATTCACGGGCAGAAAGTACGCGGATTCTGACCTTGTATCGACTCTGCTTGCTTTTATTTGGGAGGTGGGGGTAGTGACCCAGTGCGCAACAACTGACGGTGATTGGAAGCTGAGGCGCTTGAGGGGGCGTGGTTTCCATCAGATCATTACTTTGAGGGCGTGGTCTCCTTACTGCGCATGAGCATGGTGGTTGGTTTAACGTGAGGGGGTGGTTCCGCTATGTTTGAGTGTTTGACGTGTATGTGGTCTCAGGCCTCTCAGAGCATTTTATGAACTAAAATATTATTGACTGTGTCTGTACTAAGGCTCGTACTTAAAGTTTAAGTCCCATGCGTCGAATTGCTCATCGTACGCCAAGTTTCCGGAGCGTGCCCTGACGGCAGTTTGCCCCGTGTCTGACCCGACGACTGGGCCCAATGACTCGCCCGCTCGACGCAACCACGGAGACAAAGTAAACCTTTCAGACTTTTGGCCTTTTTATAGGCAGGAATTGGTTCGCTGGGAAACAGATTGCATAATTTCGGGTGTTCCGAAATTAAATGCCAGTCTTTCAGCAATGCTTTTGTTAGCTGCTTGGTTTTGATGTGTGGTGTGTAGATTATCTTGAAGACTAGAGGTGGTTCTTTTGGTCGTGTTTCATTCATGATGTATTGCTCACAGTTTTAAATTTTTAGGTCTTTTATGACTGGCAATTTCCTCTTTCTTGTGGTTACAGAGTAGAAGTTTCTCCATGATTGCATTTCTTTGCTCGAAGAAATATGTCTCCTTGTTACAGAGATGTGCATATCTTAGTAGTTCTCCTTTGGTAAAGACTTAGGTTATCAGCAGTAGGCTAAAAAAACGTATGGTATGCCTAATAATATTGACTATGCTTTGGCTCAACATGATTGAAATAGAATTTTCAATATTGGCAGGCATTATACATACATTTGTAAGAATACAAGTTTGTTATGGGCGAATTATGTACGCTCATGTTCCGCTTCCTTCCACATAAAAATACCTGGTTTAAATAATCAAGTTTGTAGTTATAATTAACCAGCTGTGTTTGAAAAGTTATTTGTACTTGATGAAGTATCCCTCAATATTAAATTAATCACAAAAATATGACTATACTACAGGAAAACCTGTGGTATATCCATTTTTTTTTTATAAATGTGGGTGGGCGTTTTTTCCCTGAGGCCCGGGTAAAAACGCCCGCCAAACTTCCTCCCGAAAAGGGGGGAAAATTTCCCCTTATCAATATAATGACCATGATTTTACATTTGCACCTGATAGAGGAGACATGTATTGCATAAAACCACATATTTATTTCCTAGTGTCTCCAAGTAGTACCATGAGTACTGAGATATATTTAACAAAAACTTAAAAATCGGGCGTTTTTACCCCAGTTTACCCTACCACTCATTTTGAAGCTTATGATGTCCTCTACATGTATCATTTGGAGTGACGGGATTTTTAAATTAACGGTTGGTATGCAAATTAGAGCCTATTAAATATTCATAGATTCCAAATCTTCCTGTCGCAGGTGTCGGTCACTAATATTGTTGTATTTTATTATATTTTTACATGAAATCAAGTACATGTTGTGTTTTTTGGAAATAAATTTGGCATTAAACCTTTTGATGTCTATATTTTTGGAGTGATGTGTTTTTAATTTAATGGTTTGTATGCAAATTAACACATTAATTATTCATAGATTCCAAAATCTTCCGGTCGCAGGTGGCTGTCATTAATTTACTTTATTTTATGATTTAAAAAAAAATGAAACCAGGTACATGTTGTATTTTTGGCTATAAATTGGGTTAAGTGGCTTATCCCAAAATATACTCATTACCACTAACTACATGTACATGTTAATTTTTTGAAATCCATTGTCAAACAAACAGGCACACTACTTTTCCTCTGATCTACGAGACTAAAGAAACAAGATGGCGGCCGCCAACATTTTTATGACTGGCCCTACTTGCTCTAAAACCTGACAAAAATTATACTTTTTATGACAAACTTCAGATAAAAATTTAACCAAATCTGGAAATTTGGGAGTTTAGTCACTTATAAAATGCCAAGAAAATTCCTGTTGGAAAAATTTCCGTACTGGATCACCACTTTTTTCAATTAACTTTCAAGCGCCAAAAGTTTCATCTTTTATGGTTATTTCCTCCACTTTCCCCTCCTTGAGATTCGAACCTCGGACTCTTGCTTGAAACACGAGACTTTTAGCTAGGCCGTACACGATCGCTGTTGCAATGATCAATCTTTGGACGTATTTGCAGTATTCACTGAAATAAACTAAATATTCATGAGAAAATAAATATTCATAATGACGTATTGCACTATCATTGGCCGGCTCATGCGTTGTCATGGTTGTCGATGTCATGCGTATAACGTACCGCTGTCTTCCAGACGCTTAAGTCAGTTTTGACCGGCTGCTTCAACTTAGTTCTGCACGACGTGTGCATCCAAAATGTGCTCTAAAAACACATTTTTCTAAAAGAAAATTCGCATTTCCAGAGCTTCCTGGATTCCTCTTGGGTGAAATCACAAGGTGAGGTGAAAATTGTTGTGTTTGGCGGCAGGTAAGTTGGTGATGCAGTATGGAATTTCTTCCTTCCTGTTTATGCATCAGATTAATGGACGGTGGTGGATTTTGTAAAGCGCATTTACATGGTGACAGGTGTGGGTTACGAAGACTGCCAGTAATGTGTAGTCGCTATTAACACATCAAGTGACTTTTCCTGCTTACCGGTATATCATCACAAAATGTTTAAGTATTAGGCCCAAAGTTCCAAAACACAAAAGGTCTTTTTGTTCTCTTATTGGGGAACGGGGTCCTAAACTATATGATAAATAAAGGCCTACCCAGTTTTACCTAGGCCACACTTCCACCATGTACAAAAACATGTTGAACTTTGTCAAATTTTGATTTTCACATTTAGGCTTAGTTTGTAGTTTATTTTTGCTTTAGAAGTATACTCACCCTCTTTATAGGCTAATCAGAAAGTGCTGCCTTTTTCAGATGTCTAATTTTCATGAAATTTCGCGGAAAGCAAGACAACGAGAATGCCCTCCAGGGCAACGCACCAGACGAAAATTGAACTCACTTGCGGCGCCTGAAAGCAGTGTGGTACCGGTGTCACGGTCTCACTTCTCCGGCGTGCTGGCTTCTCCGGGCGGATACAGCGGACAATTGAGCACGTTACAATGCACGTTTCATAAGCACGATACATGCTCATATATCCGCTGTGCTTACTTTTCCTCAGGCTGGGTTTTGAGGAAAGTCCGAGAGAGGACGCTCTAACAATACGGCTGGCAGACCCATAGATCTAAAGACAGACCTTTACGCACGGTTTGCAAAATAATGTACATTGTGCCAATCAAAAGAATGTTTAGCACTGCAATAAATACTATTACGAATATTTAATAATGTGAGGGCTCCTTTCCAAATCCTTGGAAAAGGATTTTCTGAGACTGAATGGACAACCATGGGACAACCCTCGTAGATTAATTACAATTTTAAAAAAAGACCTGTTTCGGCCTGTGTCACCGAAACAGCTAATAAAGATTATCAAAATATTGTTTGATTGTTGAAAATACAAGTTGCAATTGTCAACAAAGCTACAAAATGATTAGTCCCAAACATGCTTTTTCCCCTATGTATTGAGGGCACGGGGTTCACGAGGGGAGGGGGCGCTGCTTCATCCATGAAGTCCAAAAAATGGAGGGGAAATGAAAAAAATAATTTACAAGAGGCGTGGTCATGCTGTACATTTTAATGGGTAAAAAAAGCACTCACAGAATGTGCTTAACATGGATGTTGTGGCTTAAATGTGCTTTGTCCATTGCAATTGAGGCAGTTTTGTTAAATGGGGGCTTTCTTCGGAAACATATGGGGGTTGCCAAATGGGTCTATGTGGAGCTTTGTGATAAACTTTAATTTTGATAACTTGTCCTAGTTTAAATCAAAGCGATAACGCAGGAATCACACAGAATGATACAATATATTAAACTTTGCTTTTCATATAAACATGCTACACACAATTTGTTTTATTTGTATATCAAATCATAACGAAACTTTTTCTATAATGAAATCAACTATGCGTGTTTCCCTCAAACAAATTCCTGCCATTACTTAAGTTGATATACGAGTGGGTATACATGTACATGCACTGTCAACTCCCCCACCTGAAAAAAAAATATATTTAAATTAAACGTAAAATATAGAAAAAAATATAGAAATAACTTAAAAAAAACCGCAAACTATCAAAAACAGTTTAAATAGACCATCGTCTATTTCTTATAAGAAAAACACCTACTATATAGGGAAACAAACACAAACAGATGGGGAAGCTGTGAGGAGAGCTGGTGTTGTTTCACCCTGTTCCTTTCATCATGAAAAAAAAATACATACGATCCAATAAATACTAATATAAAAAATTGCCTGGAGTTGAGTGATAATGTGTTTATACTTGTACAAGCACATATAAGTTGATCTTTTACAGTGTACATGTGCGCAACACTTTATGAAAACAAAATTCGATTAATCGTCTCCGAGTGCTATTTCCCTGACAAATTTCCAAAATTCCCTGAGAAAATATTGTCACTTTCAAGAAGACTTTTCTGTTTAAAGGCAAATGAAGGGTATTTCAAACAGTATTTAACAGCTTTCCAGCAACGGTAATCCAAACTTTCTTTAATCTGTCACGAAGTTGACCATGTGGCACACCAACAGCATACCTAATATCTAAATATCTCAGTTATGTTTAATTAGTTATAAAATCTCCAAAAATAGCCCAATTACAATGAAGGATGATTTACTGCACGCATTTTAACAAATTTAAACTTTGAGAAATAAGCTTGAAAAGTTTCAAATGCTACATTGAATTGTAAGTCGCTTCTTTTTTCTGATTCAAAGTTTAAATATTTGACACAGGTAACTTAATCTGGAGTGGAGTAACTCAGAACTCATGATGGCGCCATGGGTCCCTGGTTCAGTTCTGGCTCTGCAAAAGGCGAGCAGTGACAAAGGTCCTGAATTGTTGCACGTGGCACTGCCTCAACACAAATGGTGGGATGCCTTGAAGTACTTGTTCCGCATACTAAAGAGTAGAAGTGAAATCAAGTTTACTCTCCCTATAAAATGTTAAATGTGCAGTGTTGATCTTTTTTGAAGAGTTAATAACTGTCATGCTAATAAACTGTTCCTCAAAAATGATGCACACCTAAATATCAAAATGAGGTCTTCTCCAGTAAGTGACTCAAACTGAATTTGTAAACGTGTAACAAATAAACTGGAAGAACTTAAATCACGCCCGTTTGGGGAATGTATTTCTGAAAAAACTTATTGGCAGAAAAGCAAAAACAAAAGCACAACTAAAAATACAAAGCAAAATAAATTCATACCATTAGAACAAACACACCGGGGCT